TTTCCGTGGCATTAGATAATGTCATGAAAAAAAAGAGAGGGAAGAGGGGAAGGGAGAGGGAGGAAGTGAAAGAAGGAAGAAAAATCGTGTACGTAGTATATTTATATAAAAAAAAAAAAAAAACATCAACGCCGTCCATTTTTTTTTCCGTTTTGTTTCGTTTCGTCCGAGTTTAATTAAAAAAAAGAAAAAATTTTTCACGTCCGTAACGCGTATTTCGTTTATGTAAGCAGACGACAATTAATAATAATAATAATAATAATAATAATAATGATGATGATAATAATTTTTTTTATTTGTTTTCCGAGTGCGAGTGCGTGTCACGTTTTTTTCCCGTCGTGTCACGAGTGAATATCCAACAATTAATTATTTAAAAAAAAACATTTTCCTTTTCCTTCCGGGATAAAATTTTTTTTTTTAATAGGAATTTCTGGAGAAAAAAAACAAAATGGCTTCTGCTACAACATACCGATTAATAATAATAATAATAATAATAATAAAGATGTAAAAGAATTTTTTTCAATTTTTTTTTTTTTTTGTAGAATCGAAAAACTTTTTTTATTTATTTAATATTAAATATATTATTATTATTATGATTATTATTATTATTATTATTATTATTATTATTAACGTCGTTATCATCGTTATCATAAATAATATTTAAATAAAATAACGATCCTTTTAATTTCCTGATATATTTTATAAACTTCGCGGGAAAACTTATTTCAATTTATTATTATTAAAATTTTCCAAACTCGTCATCCGAATCGTATATTTGATTACATATATTTATACGAAAACCTTTTGAAAAAGGTTTTCCTTCTAGAACTTTCCATAAATTTCGAAACTATCCTTTTCACGTACACGCATTTACACACACCCACACGCTCACTCACGCGAAAGAAAAAAAAATTCTTTAAAATTTAATTTCGATCTACGACGATCACGGATTTTATACGATAATAATAATAATAATACAAACGACGGTGTTGATAATGATGATGATGATGATGATAATGATAACGATAACAACCCTTAAATAATAATAATAATAATAATTTATTGTAAATATCATCGAGGTCGTTGTGAATTTTAGAAAAAAGGGGTGCGATTAAATTATTGTCTCCCCTCCCCCTTTCCCCGGGAAACTTATTTTTCGCGGGTTGTTTTTTGTTTTGGGGGGGATTTAATTTACCTCCCTTTTGTTTGGGGAGGCGGTCAATCAAACGGGAAACACGATAATTTGATTTTTCATTAAAAAAAAAAAAAAGAGAGAAAACTAGAAGTTGATAAATTACACTTTTTTTTTATTTTATTTTCTATCCTACGGGATTTTTCTTATTTTTTCGTTTGTTTGTTTGTTTGTTTGCGTTTGTCGTTTGTCGTCACACACACACACACACGCTTATAGAAATTGATAAATTGGAAAAATTGAAAAAAAAAAAAAAAACGGATTCGTGTTCGTAATAGTTAGCGCATTTGATTTATATTGAAATTTTTCACACATACACTCTCTCTCTTTCTTTCTTTCTCCAGGGATTTTCCAGCGTGTCGTAAAATTAATTAATTAACATGATATTATCATTATCATTCGTAAGACAACGCGAAATTATTATTATTACGTTATATTCGACATATTTTAAACAGTAATAACGAAAGTCATCAAAATTTTTTAAAATTTTTTTCTTTCTTTCGCGAATACGTCATCACTATCATCATCATCATCATCATTATCATTCCAGACATTTTTTATTATTTAAATTATAATTATTATTATTATTAATAAAACTACCACAACTTTTATTCGAATAATCCGTTGGGGATGAAAAAAAAAAAAAAAAAAAGAAAATGACTTACTTATTACATTTCCTTTAATAAACGATGATGACGACGACGACGACGATAATAATAATAATAAATTAATAATTATGATAATTAATAAATATTTTATTACGGGGTAATGAATTTAAAATTTATGTAAATTCACACGAACGGGGAGACGAATGGGGGACCGGGGGGGGGAAATATATGAAATAATAAAAGGGTCGACCGACCGACCGACCGAATTACATACGTCGACGCCGAATAATAAAATTACAACAACATTTATTATCATTATTATTATTATTATTATTATCAAGAGTCATTAAAACCCGATAAATATTTATTAATTAACACACAACGTAACCACCGAACATTATTATTATTATTATTATTATTCGAGTAGGAAAAAATAAATAAATAAATAATAATGATTACTTACCGTACGAATGAGTCGAGTAGTTGTTACTGTGATAATAATAATAATTTTCATAAAAAAAACATGTTTGTTGATAATAATAATGATGATAATGATGTTTATTTACGAATCGCGACGGAAAACGCGTGAATAATTAATTAATAATAATAATAAATAAATGTTCGAATTTAAAAAACGTTTGATTTGATAAAATTATCACTTACACCACTACTACCACCACCACCACCACAACCACCAGCAGAAACACTAACGACAACAGCGATAAGATTTTCAAAATTGTCTACCGAGAGAGTAAGAGAGAGAGAGAGACTGTGTGAGAGAGAAAAATTAAAAAACAGTAAAAAAAAAAAACGTAAAAAAATAACATGCGAAACCGCCCTCAACCTGAGAAAAACTGCGGCGTAAAAGCCCTTGATCCCTCTCTACAGACTCCCGCGATCCGCGGCGCCCCGTGGTCCAGATCTTTGAGACTTGTACACCCCTACTTTTCTCCTTTCCCCCCCCCCTCGCTTTCCCTACGATCCCTTTCTTCGAACGTTTTATTCCTTGCCAACCAACGCGTGTGAAACAGTCGTCGATATTGTGTATATTTAGCGCATGCTTTTCCCTCCATTTTCCTTTTTTTTTTTTTTTTTTTTCATTCCATTCCATTCCAATCCTTTCCTTTTCCTCTTTTTTGTTTTGAAATAATAATTTAAAAACATTTTACAAAATGTTTTTTTTTTTTTTAACGACTTAACCATTTCCGGTTTGTTTCCGGTTTCCTATTAAATTTATTTTAACGAACACAAAAAAAAAAAATTAATTTTCGCGTGCGTTTCTGCGTGTGTTTGTGTGTGCGTAATTACGCGCGCGTACGTTATTATTATCATTATCATTATCATTACTACTTTACATGCACAACAACTAATGCCTCAATACCTAAACCTTAATTTTTGTTTTGTTTTTTTTCAAACATGTTTGATAGAATTTTCCCTCTCGTTTTTCCAAATTTGGGGCTGGGGGGCGGGGTATCCTACGAAAGACAAAACCCCCCTAAAAAATTTTTTGTTTCACGCATAGTCATCATCATCATCATTACTTACATTTTCACACTTCCAAAGTAAAGAGAGAGAGAGAGAGAGAGAGAGAGAGAGAAACAAAAAAAAAAAACTTTTCCACGATGAAAAAAATAAGAAAATAAAAATAATAATAACAATTATTATTATTATTATTATTATTATTATTATTATTATTAATAGGAAAATTTTTTTTAATTAAAAGTTTTCGCGTAATAATTAATTAATTAATTAATTAATTAATTAATTAAAATTGTTGTATTCTTTTAAAAATATGCTTTTGACACTCTAATTGTAAAAAAAAACAAGAAAAACAAAAAAAAAAAAAAAACAAAAAATTTTCTTCTTTTTCTTTTCCTTTCCTTTTTTAAATTATTATGATTATCACTATAATCATCATCATCATCATTATTATTATTTTTATTATTATTTTTATGTACATACATTATGTATTATTATACGCGACAGCTAAGATAATGTAATAACTTTAATTACTTAAACTAATCAATATGACTATAACTCTCTCTCTTTCTCTCTCTACCTCTTTACGAATCGATACATCGATCGATCGATGGATCGATATATCGAATATTTTTAATTGATTTATGACTAAATGACATAAACGGAATCCTTATCTTTACCATTTCTTTCCCCGTTTTCCCCGTCAGAGTTTTTCGATGCTGAATGAGTGAGTGAGGATACTCTCTACAAATTCGATTTCTACATTCGATATCTCGAAACTCGTCTTCATTCGACACGTGCGTGTGCGCGTGCATGCGTGCGTGGGGTGGGGAGGTGGAGGGTGTCATTTATCATCTTCCATTTTCATGAAAAAAAAAAAAATTTTTGAGCTAAAAAAAAAAAATTTTTAAGCTAAAAAAAAAAAAAAAAAAAAATTAAAAAAATTATTTTTAATTATTATTATTACTATTATTATCATCATCATCATCATCATCATCATCATTATTAATATTATAATTATAATTATTATCATTATTATTATTTTTTTTATTTAAAATGAAATCCATTCTCGTTTTGGGCGTCTCTTGAGTAAGAGAAAGCACTGACAACGAAATACAATTAAAAATAATAAAATAAAAATTTCTTTTTTTTTTCTTTTTTCTTTTTTCTTTTTCTTTTTCTTTCATCTTTTTCTTCTTCTTCTTTTTTTGCGTCATCGATTCTGACACTTTTCCCTTCATTTTCCAAAAAATTGTTTAAACCATTTTTGGAATCCAAATCGATTTAAAAAACACGAAATAAAAACTTTTCTTTCCACTTATCTACACGTAAAATTAATTTTTTCTTTTTTTTAGTTTTTTTTTTAAAAAAATTGTTTTTCAAATTTAAAATTTCCTTTTCATTCAAATCCTTTTTTGATTTTTTCCTTTGTCGTCTCTTGTGAATATCCATTTGTGATCGAAATCATATTTTTAAAAAAAAAAGAAAAGGAAAGAAAAGGAAAAAGCAAAGAAAAGGAAAAAAAATACGACAATAATATTGCGATCGAGTGGTTTCCACTACTACCCACCCACCCACCCACCACCACTCGGAGACCCTAAACACTATCCTTCCTCCTTCTTATCCCTTTTCTTCCTTTTTCTTTCCCTGTACGCAAAACTAACTGACCTCTTATTATTATTATTATTATTATTATTATTATTATTTACAATATCCCGAATTTAATTCGTTGAAGAATCCGCTCTCTTTCTCAATCTTCTCATTTCGTCCCTCCTCATTTCCTGATTCCTCCATCTTTGTCTTTCTTCAAAATTTTTTATACTTCCATCCCATTCTTTTTGCAAGTGCCTGTTTCTCTTGTCGTCGAACCTGTCTTTTCTAAACTTGGGCCTGTCTCTCCTCCCGTGTCTTCGATAATCGTCCTTGTACCTCCTACCGTCGTCCCAGTGTCCTCTCCGATCGTATTTCCAATCACGTTTGACTTCCCTATCGTCGCTCCGTCGTCTGTCTCTCTCGTAACTTCCCCTATTGTATTTCTCATCGTTCTTGATGAGAACGCGTTCGTCTAAATCGAATTTCGCGTCTTCAACGGTTTTCGAACCGCAACTGCTGCTCGACGGCATGTGCCTATCATCTCTCGCAGCACTATTACTCAAATTCGATACTTTCGAAATGCTTTCGATGTCGAAATGATCCATGTCAATTTTTTTCCTCTCGAGCGAATTCATTCCCAATTTGATGTCGATTTTGTAATTTTTACCCTTCTGTCCCTTTTTCACGTCCCAACTCGAACAGGGAACGTTTAAAAAATCGGGGACTCCTTCGCTTTCGAACACGGATTTCGGATCCAATTTCATTCTTTTCTCCGGTTTCTTATCTTCCGTCTCTCCCATCATCGTTTTCACGTAAGAAGATTCACCGAGAACGGGAGGTCCCGTGGATAAAAGCGAATTGTTAGCGAAAAACTGTGACGTCGGAGGAGGATTCGCGTATGGACCGTTCGAGGGCAACAAAGGAATGTCTTGGATGCCGGGAGGCATAGGCTGCGAAGAGACTTGCATCAAATTATCCATTTCCGCATCCATTTCCATTTCTTTGACTTTTCTCAATAGTTCTTGATCCGTGAGACGACTCAATATCGGTTTGGAATCCGAGGATTTATCCTCCTTCCTCGCGCTTTCCGAAAAACTTTCCGACGTCGCCGACAAACCGCTCAAGAGATTTTTCGTTTGGTTCAAAACGTTCAACGCCATGTCTATGTTCGGATTGTTCGCCTTGACTAAATCTTCCACCGGATTGATTATGTCCTTTGTGACCGATTCGGGTTCTTCCGTTTTTTTCTGTATCGAATTCAATATTTCCTGGAGATTGGAAGGCAGTGAGATCTTACTCGTGACTTCGGGTAAAAAAGGAATATTTTCTTCGACTTTAAGAGGAGGAGTGAATGATCTTGAGGGTCCGTTGGATTCGTCATTATCCGAAGAGATCAATGGAAGCTGAACTTTCTGGAAAGCGTAAAAAAATTCGTCGTTTTAAAAATTTTCCCTAAATAACAACCGAAAGGAAAAATTATAAATATTATACTTCGACTGCTGCTGGAGGAGATTGTTCTCTTGCATCGGAGCTCGATGAAATAACGGATTTCGTTGTTGTCGGAGACAAACTAGGGGCGAGTATAGCCGAAGTTACGTTGGCAAGAAGGGGTAAATTGGGAAGAACGACTCCGGCTGCGAGTTTTGGTACCGTCGACGTAAGGCTTTGAATTTGCTGCGTTTGCTCTTCGATCGCACGATTCATTTCTTCAATTTTTTTCTGAATTTCAGAGGGATCTTGTAAATTACTAAAAGACAAAATAATTATTATACCATTTTGCAAAAAAATAAAATTTAAACTTTTAGCTTTAAAAAAAAAAAAAGGAGACATTATTCACCTATCCGAAGTCGCGACGACACCAGGCGATAATAATTTCGAAATTGAAGTGGATATGTCAGACACGGAGGGTTTTGAAACTTTCGACAAAGGAGGTAAATCTTCGTCTGAATCACCAGGAGAATAAGGTGAATCGTCATCTTCCACCTCATCCAGACTATCCATTTCATTAGCATCTACCGTATAAATAACACAAGATTAAATCCATAATAAATATAAATTAAAAAGTGCGCCAATCGGACACGCGGAAACTCACGATCGGATTTGTTGTAGGCCATTTGAACGCGGATTTTCCTTTTCTGTCTTTCTTTTTTATTTGATTGCTCTTGATCTTTGTCGGGAAGAGGAGGAGTGTAGGATCGATCGGGAACGGTTTCGGATAGTGAGGCATCTTCGTCTTCGACGTTTGCCGATTGCTTTTTGGACGATTTCGACAAGTGATGATCTGATGACGTAGTCGCCGCGTGTCTACTCCTGTGCTTGTTTCGTACAATTATTCCCAAAATGATATTTTCCCTGTCGAAATAAAAAAAATTATCCCCTTTTTCACGCCGGATTAAAATTTCAACAAAAAAAAAAAAAAAGGACTAAACATTCATTACCTTTCAGCTTCGAAAGCAGGACCGTCCAAAGGTAACAAAACCGGAGGTAAGGGGGAATGACTAGCTAACGGATACAGATAAAAATCTTTAACGGCTTCGCTCGTTTTACCAATAACTCCGATTCGAGATCTTTTTGAAAGGTAAGAATACAACGTGACGTACGATCCTTTTTCTTCGTCGGTCATGGGGATTATCTTAATCACGAGTATATCTTTCGTACCCATTTTTTTCATTCGTGCTATGTAATCCCAAACCTGGAACAATTAATCGCGATTTTGAATAACTTTCCCGCTTCCGCGATGATCTCGAATATATAATTTTACTACCGTTGCAAAAGGTATCCTTCCGACGACGTCTACTTTTTCTCCGATGTCATACGATAAACCCGAACAATCCCCGCTGATTTCGGTGGCGACTCCGCTAAATCTAGCGACGTCCGCCATTACGATTGATCCTTTCCACAAATGCGTGGGCTCGGGTTGAGGTTCGCTTTCGGGCTCTTCAAAATTCGTTTCCGGGGTTTTAATGATAACCGTAGAACTGGGTTCGCGATCTGGAAAACAAAACGTTAGGTTTTTTTCAATTAGCACACAAACGGGATACCTTAATCGTTACAAATATATAAACTCACCTGCCGCGTCATCATCCTCGACTGTTTTTTTCACCGAATCATCTCCACCATCATTCGTTACGGTCACTTCGTTTTTATCCAATTTTTCCTCCGACTTTTCCGACGATAATTCTTGTCCCTCTTTAACATTCATCTCTTTTTTACTATCCAACTTTTTGTCTTTGTGCCGATGCTTGAATTTATCTTTATCTCTATCCCGACTCCGACTCCTTTTTTTATCTTTAGAACGATGTGATCTACTACTGTGATTGCTTCTACTGCTACTTCTTCTTCGATCTCTGTCCCTGAAATTCACAACAACAACAACAAAAAAAAAAAATTTTATTCCAAGACGCCAATATTTTGACGCAACAATTATTTTTTTTTTTTTTTTGAAAATACTTCGTAATACTTCGTCCAATACCTCCTGTCACGTTTCCTATCTCTACTTCTCCTCCTTTCCTTTTCCTTCTTTTTCATTTTTTCAACGTTTATTTCCGTTTCTTTTAATTTCGCCTTCTCTTCTTCGTTTAAATCTTGAGTCGTGCTCGTGACGGAATTCAACGCGGACACCAATTCTTGTGCTGGCGTGTTCGGATCGATTTCCGCGGCTACGGCAGCAACTTTTTCACTTTGATCGCTTTCGATAACCTTTTTTCAAATTAAATTTAATTGATCGTCACTCAAAAATGAACTTTTAAAAAAAAAAATTTTTTTTAAACAAAAAACTAACTTGTTCGCCTTTATGACTTTTCATTATGTATGTATTTCCCTTCGTCATTAATTCCAATTCCGTTTTTTTTATCATTTCCAATTGATGTTGATTTTCTTTTTCTCTCCATCTTGCCAATTCTTGACTCGCCAATTCTTCCGGAGATAATTTTACAAGATCTTTCGGACTTATTAAATTATCCACTATTTTCCTATTTACAAAAAAAAAAAAAACCAACGACCAATCAATCATTTTGATGAAATTTTTTTTTTTTTTTCTTCCATTTGGCACTCTACTCACTTGTACAAGGTTTCATTTTTCGGATCCTTTATATTGAAAATTAACGACCTATATTTAGATTTGTACTTTGTGTCGACTTTATTTTCAAAATGTTTAAATAATTTCTCTTCAATTTTAATTGATAAATTATCAATGTGCTCTTCGTTATATTCCATGTCTTTGCATTCTTGAACTCTGACTTTCAACGTTTCCGCGAGTGTTTTTTTCACGGATTCGCGAATTTGTTGATCCGCATCTTTTTTATCCTTTTCTTTGTCTTTGACCTCTTCTTGTTTCTGTTACAAGAAAAAATTTTTTTATCAAAAAAAAACAAAACATATTGCGGAATACAATAAATATTATTCTTACCTGTCCCATTTTTATATCTTTCCCGCCTGGAACATTCCCGACCGACTTTTGAAAACTTCCCTTTTTTTTCTTTTGTATTTTATCTTGTTTCTGAACGAAATGTTGTTGTTGTTGTTGTTGTTCCTTGTTCCCGCTTTGAATTTTGGGAGACGTCGTCGTTTCCTTTAACTTAACCGGAACGTTTTTAGACACTAGCGTTTTGATGGGTAAAGGCAACGCTTCGATTATTTCCGTCTGCTTTGGTTTAACAACAAACGCTGTTTGCTTACCTCCCGTTCCTGTTAACAAGAAAACATTTAACCGCTCATTTTTTTCAATTGTTTCATGTACGATGAAAAAAAAAACTTGAAACAAACAATTAACAATACTCTGTTAACTATGACGTCATAATTAAAACTAATAATAATACTACTACAACATGAACTTTAAATACGACAATTTTTTTTCCCCCTTTTTAAAGTTTCAAAATCTTGCAACAACAAAAAAAAAAAAAAAAAAAAAAAAATGGCGCACTACATTTATTTACTTAAATCTTCTCGCGGTGTCGTTAGGGTAATGATGTGGTGTTAGTCTTTAAAAATAATTTAAATTAATTTTCTTTTTAGTTAATAAATTAATAATCTATGTGTTAATATATATATTTATCAACCTGGGCTATTGATAATTTGAAAAATTTTTTTTACGGCCGTGCCAGGTCCCGCGGAATTCGGTTGCAATATGTTTATTTGTTTCGAATTGGGACTGACGGCTAATTTCAACTGCGTTGATTTCATTCCTTCGGGAACTTTTTGAGCCTGAACAAACACCTTTTGTGTTTCTCCTTGAAACAGAAAAAAAAAAAAAAATGACATTAGGTACGTACCTTCATTATTTAAAAAAAAAAAAAATTAAATTTATTTGACAATTATCGTGAAACCGTACCTGGTTTCGAATGGATTTTAACCACTTTCCTCGAAGTCAATAATATTTTACCAGGTTTATCTGTTTTTTTATACACCACGTGATAACTGGGATTTTCTTTGAGCCAAGTTGTCAAATTGGCAGCCGTGGGAGCATTTTGACCGACCAAAAATTTTTTACTATTCGAATCCATGACCACGATTCTGGACTCTTCCTTTTGCACGCTCTGAGCAATTTTTAAATTATCGTTTGAACTAACGCAGGAAGATTCGGAACCGCTCTAGAACAAAAAGAAACAAAATTATCTTTATTGTATCATTCACAGAATCGTTTAAAACTTTACATTTCCACACATCAAAAAAAAAAAAAAAAAAACAAAGGACCAACCTTTTTGTTTCCGTCGGACATTAATTGGGAAATTGCATGCTGTGAATGTTTCCTAATGCAATCATCACTGCAATATATCGAATTTTCCCGGACTGGACCCTTACACATAATGCATTTCCTAATTTGAGAAAATCAGAAATTTAAAAATTTACATTCGCACGAGATTCAGTTGGAAAAGTTTTTCTTTCTGTTAAATTTACCTCCCAAACGTTTCTTCTTCGGATTCCTGACCGATGGTATGGGAAAAGTCTGATATTTTCGTTTGTTTTAAATTAGTACCTGTTAATTTATGCGATTTTATTGATGAGCTCGTTATTAAATTTTTATTTTTTTTTTGTGAGTCTTTAATTTTTTCCTGTTGTTCTTTTATACCTTGTGCCATTTTCTCCTTTAAAACTTTTATTTTTTCCGCTTCCCTGTCGTGCTCTTCGACCTTTTTCTTTTTCGTACAATTCGGGCAAGACCATTCCAAACCGTCTTGTTCCATTTGTTTCCCTGTATTTTCATTTTGAAAAAAAAAAAAAAGGAAAAGTTCGTAAATATTTTTTTTTTAAAAAAAAATCCAAAATGATGAAAAATTTATAAAAAAATAAATCATTCCATTCATTACCGATCGTTTTTGTTATTCCCACACATTTCCCGTGAAACCATTCCTCACACACGTCGCAACAAATCATAAATCTGTTATTGTGAGGTTTTCGACAAATGCACCACAAACGATCTGGATCATCTTCGGAATTCCAGGATGCTTCCGAAAGAGCATCGTCCAAATCCGAATCCAAATCTGATACTTCATCGGATCGCCTCCTAAAAAAAATATCATTAGAATCGCTTTTTAAATTGACACAAAAAATATAATAAAAATTTGATTAAAAATTTACCTTTTAACCGATGTTCTTCTTCGATCTTCCGGTTTGTTTTCATCAAGACCCCGCGTTTCACCCACGCCATCCGAATTGATTTGTTTAAACTGAGACGAATTTTTTTCAACTTTAATCGAACCCGCACTGTTAGATTCTTCTGCATTCGGAGTTAAAACATTTTTAAGAGACTCGCTGTCGAATTGAAATGCTTCTTTTGAGTCCGTCCGATTGTTTTGCCGCGAAACCAATATTGCAGAAGTTATTTCGTTTTGAATGTCTTCTATCGTTTCCGTTTCGAATGGCAAACCGACGGAACTTTCATCCAAACCGGTGCCATCCGCTTCGGGCAAAATCTGAAAATGAAATTTTACGTTTATAAAAAAAATTAAGGCGACATCAAGAGTAATTCATGATACTAACAATTCCTTTGCTGGAGTCAATAAATTGCTCTTGCAATAAAATGGCTTCTTGCAACAACTGATCTTCACTTTTGCTAGCAGTTTGCGCAAAACCCTCCAACAGACTTTGATCCATTTGAGTTGGATCCAAATAATAATTTTCATCCACGTTTTCATCGGAATAATCTTGATCATCCTCGTACAAAGGTTTACTCTGATGTTTTTCGATCAATTTTTGAATTTCTAAATTCGCTTTTTTATTTACAATTCCTAAATCCAGGCCAATGTTTTCCGACGACGTTAATTTTTTATTCTTATCATCTCGAGATTCATTTTCGTTTTTGGTAGGCACCGCTTCGTTTTCATTTTGATTGGTTTTGATGCTTTTTGAAGGTTCTTTGGTCGTTTTAGGTTTTAACTGAACTGTAGGTTCTTTCGGTAAACTCTCGGTTTTACCAGGTAGTTTTTGGCCAGGCATTTTTTCAGCTGATTTAGCATTCGAATGAGCACCGACGGTGAAATTTTTCTTTTCCGGTGGTGTCTGCGGCACTTCTTCCGTCGTGGAAATTCGACGAATAATATCAGGAGCGGAAAATAGAGCTGGTCCGAAAGCTTCGGCTAAATGAGCCGGAGGCTTACGGTTTTCCCTTTTGGGATACTTAGCCGTGTGAGATTTTTCTGGAACCAATGTTTCTTCGGTGTGTTTTTGAACTTCCTTAGTACTTTTTTCCGTTTCAAAATGTACTTGTTCTGGCGGTTTTATTACCTGTTAAAACCAAAAAAAAAAAAAAAAAAGACAAATTAAAATCCATGCGTTTAAAAATCTTATTACAAAAATTTTTTCAACTTGCCTTTTTCAAATTTCGTTTCGCTGAAACTTTATCTTCTTCTTTAGTATCGTATTCCATTGATTTAACAACTTTGGACATAGCATCGTTAAGTTTTTCATTTCGAGCTTTTACTTCTGGAGTAATAAAAGATCGCTTGCCAAATCTACTAGAAGGTTTAACCATTTGTCTGTTCATTGATTTGCCAGTTTTTCGCAAAACAATTTTTTTCCTACTTCTCCTCGATTTTCTCTTGGCCCTGGATCTACTCCCGTAATCTTCATCTGAAAGATTATCTTCTTCGACTCCGACAGAACCCTCACTATCTTCAACGTCTATATCTTCTTCGTAAGAAGGATCCTACAAATAAAAACCATATTTGAAATAAAATAAAATATTTCAAAATGGCAAAACATTCTTTTTGAACAAAATTTTAACGAATCAAGATATTAAACAAACACACATTTACTTCATTTTCTGATATTCCAACTGGAGTGTAATCTGTAATCACTGCTTTATTTGGTATCTGCTTTGCAATCATAGACTCTTCTTTTGTTATAGTATTTTTCAAAATACTACCTGATCCTACAGGACCAGACGACATAATTTTTTTCCCCTTTATCGGAGTACCCATTTTTGCCTTAAATTTTCATTACAAAAATTTCATTTAAAAATAAATAAAACTCTAAAAGAAAAAAATTTAAAGTTCTTCTCCTACCTTTCCTTTTCCTTTACTAGTTTCTCCAATATTTGTATTTCTCGAATCATTTGTGAAAAAATTTGGACCATTCGGATCTGAACTTGGTGAAAGGTTAGTATAACAATGATCGTTTCTTATAGAATTTTGTAAAAAGGCAGCCGGACTATCATCTACACTAAGCATGTCTGAGAAAAAATTAAAAATATTAAAAATTTAAATAAATAATTTTAAAAAAAGTTTTTTTAAAAATTATATATATGTAAACATACCAAGCATTGCTGCGACATTTTCTCCTAATATTTGTTTCGCTTGTTCAGATGCTAAGGCATGTTCTAACCTTTGGAGTTGTTCAGGATCCATCTGTGAAAAGGGGTCTACAATATCATGACTAATGTTTTCATTTGATGGACCAGGCAAAATTTCTAATGGAGAATTTATAACATTGCCTGAACCATCATCGGAAGCTAAGGTCAAATTTTCAGGATAAATTTCTTCAACTGTCAATTTTAATTCTTGCTTACTCTCTGTAAAAAAAAAAAAAAAAAAAAAATTATCAAAAATTAAATAAAATAATTATTAACTTTATTATTTATTTACAATATTAATTACAAATTTATTTTAATTAATTTGTAATGAGCTTACCATTATCTTCCTCATTACCGATTTCAGTTTGACTGGAATCAAAACGAACTATTTTAATTCCCATATCAGGCAACTTTTGATTTGTTATTAACTTTTCAAAATGAGCAGGATCAGCTGTAACATTCCCATCGCCATCCATTATGAGTATTAGGGATTTATCTCCCTCAGCTTCAGGAGAATGTTCAATAAATGTACTAGACATTTTAGCCTGAAATAATAAATATATAATGAAAATTAAATATAATTTTCAATGCAATTAGTATGTAAATTATCCTCAAAAAATAATATCTTTTAATGGCTTTTCTAATTACATAATTTTTTAAATTTATTTTGCCTTTGACATAAATGACTAAATTATTTGATTTCCACAAAAATAAAAATAAAATTAATTAATTTAATTTTTCTTTCACATTATGTAAATAATTGTTTTGAAAAAATATCAAATAATTATATTACTTTAAATTTTTCGGGACTTGTTTTAATTTAAGAATAATGGTAAACAAAGGATAATAATGCCATAATCCCATTTTATCCAATTTAATATAAAACTTAGACAAGCATTTTTATGATAAATATTATCATTTTCTGCATAAAAATATTTAAATCAATTTTTTAAACTATAAAATCTAAGCTATCACTACTGTACAAAGAATAAAACCAAAACAAAGTGGAAGCCATTTTGATTAAAACAGCACAAGAGAGCGAAGCAAAATAAAATTATAATTAAAATACTTACTCGGATCCGGCTTCAAGTTTTATATATTACTGTCTTCATTATTTATATTTTCTTAATAAATATTTTTTATTATAAAGCCATTGTAATAGGTTTTATTATTCAAAATAGGAACACTTTGGGAATCTCATTTCGATTTTTGATGCATTCATGAACCCCGCAGGTTTTTAATGATGTTTTACCGTTTGCCGCGTTTTTTTTTTGTGAGCCCGTTTAAAAGGCTGTGAATTGTAAACAAAGTATTTTTAACCCACTTTCTATAATACGGTTAATTATTTTGTATTTTATTGCATAAAATTTATCAAATGTATACTATATATTATTATATATATAATATAGTATATATTATAATATTATATAATATATAATATAATATTATAATATATATATAATATAATATAGAATAATATATAATATATATATATATATATATATATATATATATATAGTATATGAATATATACTATATATATTTTTATAGAATCAAAATTTAAATTTATTTTTAACTTTTTACACGTGTACGCACACCCACACCCACACCCACACATATATAAATATATACGAATGCATAATATTGATAAAACCTACCTAAAATCAATTATATAAATGTCGATAATTAAAATTTTATCCTTTTTAATATTTTCCGTTCCCAATAGAAATAAAAAAAAAGGGAAAAATTATTTTATATATAATATTAATAATTATATTTATATATAATATAAATTTATAGAATTATACAAAAATATCAAATAAGACACTGTCATATGATTCATAAAAATTTTTTCAGTACATAAAAAAATAATTGTTTTTTATCAGGAATTATTAAAAAGCGATTTTAAAAATTCCTTCCTATCATTATTATTACTTTTATCCGGATCTTTACTCGATAATATTTCATTTTCAGTCTGTCTTTGTTTATAATTATTAACACGATCACTATTTCCATTTAATTTTTTAAGTTTTTTATTTCTTTCGATAGTTTTAGCAAAGAAATTAGCTTCTTTTTTAGCCTGTGCAATTTCCGCTCTCATTTTCTGCCTATGTACAGCTCTTTCATAAGCTAACCTTTCACTCAAATGAATCCATTTAAATCTAGGTAAATATTTTATATTCCACATGTAATCATAAAATTTCGAACTTTTTTTCCCACCTATTTGTGTATTATTTAATGAGTGGCACACCATTTTAGCTACTTTTTTACTTTTAAATTCTATCCAACCTTCGGAAAAATGTAGAGGAGGTTTTTTACTTTTTTTAGTTTTACCTAAAAATTAAAAAATTTTTAAAAAAAACGTAACACAAATACACTCGTAACGAAATTTATACAATATCCTCAATACCTGTCTTAGTTTCGGCAGGTTGTAAAAAAATTCTTCCTAATTCGCCATATTTTGAAAATAAATCTTTTACTTTTGTAACGTTCATAAAAGGAGGTAAAGTTCCTAAATATACAATACCAGGTTTTTTCTTTTTTTCTTTAACATTTAAATTATTATCATCGGATAAAACCTCGTTTTCGTCGTGTTCATCCATGATGTTTACAATTTGCTGCTAAAAATGTCACAGAGTAAATAAACATAAAATATCGTTTACCGTGTCATTAAGTAATATTGGCGGACAAACTAAGTACTTCACGCTTGAATAACTAAAAAAAATTGTTTTTAAAAAAAAAAATATACGTTGCAAATTTACAAATCGTTAAAAAAATGTTTTTTTATTTTAATTTTTTTTTTTTTAAAGTAAGGCATCGTTTTTTAAAATTATTTTACATTAAAACGTTAATTCGATGATTAGTTAGTTTAAATTAATTAAAAATCTAACATGGACGCTCGTACTACACCAAAAATAATTTAAAAAATCTTAATAACACTTAATCTAAAAATTTCGATTTAAAGTTTTTTATAAATAATAACAACCTCCCCTCGAAAAAGGGTTAATTTAAAAAAAAAAAACTTTAAATCCAAATTTTTTTAACAATTTAAATAATAAAAAAAAGGAAAATAGCAACAAAACGATGATAAATTTAATTTATAAAAAATAAAATTGAATTAAATTTCATTTTCAATTCAAGTTTTTTTATAATAAAAATATTTAAAAAAAAGTTAAAAAAATAAAATCTTAGCATTTTTATGAGCTTATAGTTATGATAATTTTTCATTTTCAATTATAAAATACCTTAAATTAAATTTTTATGGCTTTACAACAATTTTACAATAAATAAATTAAAAAAAAAAAAGTTTAAAAAAGTTAATCGTACTTAAAATATACATATTTCAATTTCAAACTTGAGTTTGTGGGATCCTATCAAATTTTCGTGGATTTTTCCTTATTGCTTTTTTACTTCCCGGCACCATTCGACCGTCATCTTCCCTAAGGCTTTCTTTCGAATCGTTAGATCTCAAACTAGGCGTCGAATAACTTTTTTTCGAGTCTTTCACTTTCAAACCAGAATCCATGCAAACGTTTTTATTTGTTATTATTTTACTTTTATCGGGAGCCGCCAAAAAATTTCCCGTGCTTTTCGACAAATGTTGCATAGGAGCGATGGGTTTTTTATCCTCCATCATAATGTTTTGCTGGGACGAAAGACTAAAACTCGTAGGACGTGATTTGAACACAGGCGGTGGAGTACCCGCAGGAGGTCTTTTATTAGAACCTGATACTTCTCGGAATTCGTATATGTTATTCGTAGATTGTGAAGTTTCGTTGTCCACTCCTTCCATTCCTTCTTCATCTTCTTTATGTATTAAATTTATGTCGTAGTACTGATCCGCAGTTCTGAAAAATCATAATTCAAGTCTTCAAGTTTAAATTAAATCTGTTGGAATACGATGGAAAAAAAAAAAAATTACATGCAACAGATTTTTTACCGTCGAAGTAAACATTCAATTTTTCGCTTACTTACGACTCTTACCTTTTAGCTTTCCTCCAAAGGATGCAACACGTAAATACAAGTATAATTAAAACAACAGAAAGGGATATTATGGACAAAAATGCAATTTGTAATTCCTCTCTTGCATCCCACCAAAACTAAAAAAAAAAATAAAAATTAAATGTAAACACAAAAAACTTAAAAGTTCGGTTTTTATTATTATCGGTAGGTACAAAATTACTTCAGAATACGGCCTGTACGTCGTGAAATAGGTGCCTATAACTGTGGGCAAATAAGAATACCAAAAAGCACATTCTGTTTGCCTGTAGTTGTACATTATTGAGCTGTTGAATGTCGTATTGATGTTAAGATATTTCAAATTTCCAACGTGAGCCGTTTCAAAATGAAGACCGAGAATTTGTTGCTGTGAAGGATTACTAAAAAAATTAAATAAAAATAAGTTTCCTTTTTACTTACTTATCGAAATGTGATAAACGTTAAATACTAACCCGTATTTAGCAAAATCTGAATAAGCTTTCATAAAAAAATAACTCATGTTTCTATCATTTTCCGTCCACATATTTCTCTGCCAATTTTCGGATTTAGGAAAAAATTCTAATAAAAATAAAACAACATTTTTTATATATTAAGTTAAATCTTTTGTTACGAATCCATTTTTTTTTGTAACTAACCAACATCCATGAAAGGAGCTCCCGTTAAAAATACTCTTTCTATATCGTGTGGAACTTTTCGCCAATCTGGAAACCTGAAAGCTTCGACGGTCGTGTTTAAAACGTACAGGTAAACAGGTACACGTTTTTCCAATAAAAGTTTTGTCATTTTATCACTTGGTGCTCTGTATTTAAGATCGGATATCAACTACAAAAAAACAAAAAAAAAAAAAAAAAAAACGTTTTTCGATTCATTTTAAATTTTTAAACGCGAAAAAAAATTTCCATTCATTTACTAACGTGTATATATTGCTCCCTAATGTACTGGGTAGCGTCGGGATCAGGCCAATAAGTATATAAATATCTTATGGCTTCGTAAACTCCTTCTTCGTTAAATGTATAATTTAACTGATGAACCAATTCGCGAACCTTCTGATCGAAAAAAGGTTTACCGATGGTAAAATGCGGAACCAAACTTTCATTTTTGTCTGAAAATTACATGTTAATAAGTACACTTATTAATTAATAGACGTTTAATGATTTAAATTAATTGTAGCGTACATATTACGTAAGCAGCTTCCTGAGTGGTTACACCAGCCATGTATCTTAATTGTTTATTAAAATGTCCTTCTTTAAGCAATTCCTCGGGACTTTTGGGGAAAAAATGCCAGTCTTTTTCCGTAAAAGTATTATGAAACCAACTGTCTTTCGGTACGGTGAAATTAGTATCCAAAACAGGGCCCCAAGCCAACAATCCAACTTCCGGCTAAATTTTAATAAAAAATAATTGTATTAAATCAATGCATTTTACATTTCGATATTTCTAAAAAAATTTTTTTTAAAATTACCCTGAATTCGGCATTTCCCAATTCAAGAGCGCTGCGACCATTTCGTAAACAATTAACTAGCTTCCAAGAAGAGTCCGTAGAACAACCAAGATGTCTTCCGAAAACTGTGCTTGTGTTTAAAACTTGCTCCCAAGACCGCGTAACTGCCCAATCAGCCAATGCTGCACCGCTCTTGATGAATAAATTATATTTTAAAAAATGTTTTATTTACCAAACTGTTTAATACGTCGAAAAAAACCTGAAATTGTACCTGCGCTATCACTTTGCTAACTAAATCTTTAGTCTTGGGTGCTAACATCAAGAGTCCGGCACTAGCTGCTCCTGCTCCAGGTCCGAATAACGTGATGGAATTTCTATCACCATTAAAAAATTCTATATTATCATAAACCCATTTTAGTGCCTGAGCTTGATCTAATATACCATAATTTCCAGGAGAATTTTGATCTGCCGTGCTTAAAAATCCTAAAAATAAATGTGAATCATGGATGACTTTTGTAAAGCTCATGACTAGATATAGATATGCATGATTAATTTTACAAACCTAAAGCTCCCAGTCGATAATTAATTGTCACAACCACAACATCGAAAAAACCTGCAAGCATGTGGCCCGGAAATGTATTAGAAGCACCTTGATAAAAATCTCCACCGTGTATATAAAACATGACGGGATATTTTTGTGCCACTCCAGCCCCAGTCTAAATATTTATAAATAAATTTTAAATTATTTAAAAAAAAAATAAAAAAATTTTTTTTTAAAATTTATGGTCGGTCGCACTTACAAAAGGAGAATAAACATTTAAATATAAACAATCTTCATCCATATCCCTAATCCCTTTTGATTCTCCGACATATTTGGCAGGTTGTGGACAAGCAGGACCAAAATCGACAGCTTGTAGAAGTTGCCAGCCTTTGTGTGGAAGAGGAGGCTATAAATAAGTCAGTTTAAAAATTGCTTAATAAATATTAACTTAGTACTGACAATAATATTTTGAGAAACCATTAAAAAAAATATATATATATAGAAGAGAAATACATAAACTTTTACTTTCTTCTTCCATTTACTTTAATTACTATTGACAAAATCGATAATGCATAGTTTTAAATTTGTTTTAAAAACAAAAGATAAGATTACTACAAATTTACCTTGAATCTACCATCTTTAACAGGTGGCATTGCATAGGGTATTCCCAAAAATACACTGACATTACCCTTTATTTTTTCAACAGTTGAATCTCCCGGTCTGTACTGCGAATAAGGATCAGGAGTGTCATATAAATAAACTTGAAAACCTTGAACCTGAAACAGCAAGTAAATTAATCACCATTAAAGTTAATTTAAAATTCCAATTTAAATTTGAAAAGGTAAATAAACTAAGTACTTGTACCCATTCGAAATCAAATAACTTATACCTGTCCGTAAGAAGTTGTAACATAAATATCCCTGTTTTCTTGGGCAGATATAACTCTATATTTTCCTTGCAAGTAATCTTTCCATCCACTAAGTATTCCAGGTCTTTGCACTTTAGTTGCTCCATCCTTTTAAGAATAAATTATAATTTAATTAATTTAAAAAATTATAAAAATTAATGCTGTAACTAAAATTGAATTAATTTTTAGTGAGTTCGGTGAGAGAGAAAAAAAAACAAAAGAAATTCAGTAAAAATACTTTTGCAAAATTTGATTAATGACTCAAGAGACTTTTGTATAAATTTAAAAAAAAGATAATAATAATAAATGATAAGGTGTAGCACAACAACATATTTGACTTAAAAACCAATCAGAAATCAAAACTAATTACGATTTTAATAATAAATTTGTAAATTACTTACAGGATGTCTGAATCGCGGATCATTAGTCCCAAAACCTGGATAATTAGGATTAAAATTTAAATAATTCCAATCATTTTGATTATCCAAATTTCTCGAATCAAAATCGAAAGAACTTTGACCATATCTTCTTCCTTGATACTCATAAGTTCTATAATTTGGATCCCCAGGATTTGGCCTATTGTGTCCTTCATTGTTTCTATAGTTGTAGGGATCTGGATAATTTCCAAAAGAGTTTTGGCAACTTATGTAAGATATTGTAAATAAAAAACAACACCAAACAGTCAAATTATCAATGTAGTTATAAAAAATATAAAAATTCATTTTTATTAATACTAAATATTTTCACTTAAATGTTTTTAAAAAAAAAAAAAAATTATATTTGTGAAGTTCTTTTAATCACAAAAACAAGTAGGAAACGTTTATAAAAAAACTTTAAAATCAACAGGTGGTGTCAGTGCCTTAAAAAATTTCTACATTTTGAAAATAATAATACAAATTAGGCCATATCTTTTATTTAACTGTTATTGAGTCATAATAAACAGTTCGTGCGATGCATTTATCAGGATGATTTTCATTGTAGCACCGATATAGGCAACGCCCCTTTAAATTTCCCACCGAAATTTATTTTATTTTATTTCTGTATTAAAATATTTAATGCGAACTCGCGACACTGTTAAAAATGTTAGCATTTAAAAAATTTAAAATTGTTAACTTTAAACAAAAACTTTTTATATTTCATTTTTTATTATTCAAAAATCGTTACATAATGCTTTAATAAACGGACGGAATTATATATTTTTTTCAACGAATTTTCCCTCACATTTTCGAACACTTTTATTAAATTTGTTTTTGTTTTAACGGAATAATACCCACGCTAAGTCATGATGCTTTTAAAAATAAAAAAAAAAGCCGTTTTTAAAAAAGAAGTTCTCTTACTACCTCATATCAATATGGCCGTTTTGTGTACCTGACGCATTCATTATACTAACAGGTATAACAAGAAAGAAATTTTTCAAAGCAATAAGGATATAAACAACTATATATACATTTATTCATAACAAATGATTTTTAAAAATGGAACAAGTCACGATTAATAAAATATTTTTTGTAAAATAATAATAATGCTTCTATTATTTTACATTTAAAAAAATTATACATTCGTATTTGCCGCATTTTTCTTTTTTTTTAGAATTGGCAACATTGTAAAAATAAATTTTAACCGCTTAATTTTTTTTTTCCAAAGTTTCGCTGGGTTTCCTTACCGTTAAATTTTTCCTCGATATTATTTTATTTATTCAAAGTATCTTTTATTAAAAGTTTATAAATAAATGTTTTAAAATAAAATATATCGTCTAAATAATTTTAATAATAAAGTGTTCTTCTAAAAATTTCAAAAAAACCAACAATAATTAATATTAAAATTAAGTCGTTAAAAGCTCTCCTTAGCCCTCCATTATTGAGTTTAATGGTAAGTAAAATACCACAAAGCTTTTAACATTTATTTGACAAAAAAAAAAGATTAATTGCAACAAACTATTCAAATATCATTCTTAAAAAACTTTATTTCTTATTATGCAATTTAATATTTATACTAATATTGTTATTAATGTTCAAATTAATACAATAAATCATCTAACTACTTCTACTAAATAAATGACTGAAAATAGATCAGTAGAAAGAATATTTTAAAAAAATAATTGAAATTAAACACTTAAATCACAAAAAAAAAACATATTCTAGTTGTTTGAATTCAATATTTGAATAGTAAATAAAAGTTTCAATAGGTTTTTTTAATAAAATTTATACATGTTTAATTTTTTATTTATTATTTGCAGATTAAAATCAAATCAAATATGGCTGCCCTAATTCATATATATAGATTTTTATAAGATGATATAAAAACTTTGATCCAATATAAAACCAGACCGACCCTGTTTATTACAACTTGTTGAACGACAGATGTTATTTCTTCCCCCTCCAAAATAAGCTTCATTTTAAACACTCTTGAGGAAGATTCTCCAACAATTGGTGTCTTCAGTTTATGTTTAGGAGTTGTGGTGTAACTATCTGGAAAAAATTTAATTTTAAGTTAAAAATTAGTTTTTAATTCGTTTTTTTTTATTTTGTGTGTGTGACATTAAATGACTTCAACTTATTAATAATTTAATAAGTATGTTTACCATTCAATAACTATTATTATTATTATTAATTTAAAGAAAAAATATTTTGTAGTTTTAAGTTTAGTTTTAATTGTTCAGACTTAATAATTCAGTTATCACTGCTGACTCGTTAAAAACTTTTTGTTGAAATTCATTGTGAAAAGATTAAATTTTAGTTAAAGTCAGCATTGCACTACAATTTCATTAATCATTAAAATAAAACCCATGAAATTTAAAGCTTATTATTATTATTATTATCTTATAAATGAAAATACATTAAAAATTTAAGTATTAATTATCATGTAATTTTTTATTACAGGTTTGTAATTAACAAACAAACAAACAATAATTTATTGTTTTATTTAAAAAAAAATGGCGGGAAACAGTTTGACAATTAATTTAGAAGATGATCCGTTCGAAGAACATGTCATAACATTACTACAAAAGTTAGAAGCCGTTCGAGATGCTAAAAGAACAGCTAACAGACTAACGAAAAACTATCGTCAACCTGTACAAGTGGAAATCCGAACATTAGAATTTTGGAGATCGATTATATCCGAATGTTTGGCATCATTTTTTCTAGTTTTTATCGTGTCTGGAGCCAGTTATAATTATTTGGGAAAAGGAGTTGAAAAAATAAATGATATAGTTTTACCGACAGCATTTGCCACGGGGCTCACAATGGCTATGTTACATCACTGTTTTGAAAAAATATCAGGTACTAAAGAAAAATTAAATTTTTTTAAGGGTTTAAAATAATTAATAATGACGATGAAATTGTTTTTTTTCGGGGGGGTTTATAAAGGAGGACACGTTAATCCAGCAGTTTCTCTTGCAATGGCCGTCACTAAAAAGATTTCACCCTTAAGAGCATCTTTATTTGTGATAGCACAATGCGGGGGTGGAGTTGCCGGAGCTGCTCTTCTATATGGGTAAGTCAATTAAAATCATATTTTAAAAAAAAAAAAATTTTTTTATTTTCCAACCCTTACTTGACTTGACAAAAAACCAACCCTCTCTCTCTCTCTCTCTCTAACTTATCAATCAGTGTGCACTTGTTTCATCTTTCAATAAAAATCATTCATTCATTCATTCATTCAATTCACATAAATTTCATTATTACCCCCGTGTGACGAAGGGGAGGAAAACATTTTCTTTCTACTTTGTTTAAGTAGGTTTTTCTTTTTTTTGGGGGAGGCGGGGAGTAAAGGTTCGTTACAATGTTAGAAAAACTTTTTTTTTTATAAATTTTATATAAATCCATAATTTTTTATCGAGTTTACCACAACTTGAAAAAAAAAAAAAAAAACACAAAGAAAAAAATGATTGTGTGTGAGAAAGTAACAACAGTTGGCAGCCATTTTTTATGCCAAATCAATTGTGCGTGTGTGTGTGTATTAAAATCCCAAAGGAACACTTAATTCTTTCCCAGTTTTTTTTTTTTTTTAAAGGGCTTTGGTCGTGTTACAATAAAAAATGAATTCACTTGTTTTCAAGTTCTCGGGCTTTGGTTGACTGATTTGGCATTCATGATGATGATGATGATGATGATGATGATGACCTTTTGTTTTGTTAATCAGCTTTTTTATTCTTTTTTTATGAATAAGGGTGATATGATCGTTACATTTAAAAATATATACGTATCACATTATACCCTTTTTTTAACGTTGTTGTTGTTGTTATTGTGGTTACACGACATCATGCACAATTTTTTTTTAAAAAAAGAGTGTGCATTATTTATTGGAGTAAATTAAATTTACAACTTTATTTCACATGCCTTTCAAATATTTTTTTTTTGTTATTAGGGAGAGAAACTTTTATCCAATCGTTTGTTTTTTAAATTTAAAATATTTTTCTTCTTCTTTGATTATCACATCCATATTCTAATGAGAATTGAAAACCTTAATTGTATTAATAAGTTTAAGGCGTTAGAGTGTTGTTGTTGTTGTGATTGTTGCTGTAGTTGTTGTTGTGGTTGTTGTTGTTGTTGCTGTAGTTGTTGTTGTTGTTGTGGTTGTTGTTGCTGTTGCTGTTACACACACGCGGTTTTTATAGTAAATTTAAATCCGTGATAAATTAATCCGTGACGTGGGTCAGTCATTTAAATTCATACGATTAAAAATTTTCCCACAGATTTATTATATCCTTTTCATAGATTGAGAAATTAGCCACGTGACTCCCATTTGACGAACAAAGAATTTTCCTGTCGCTTTTTTTTTTTTTTTTTTTTTTTTGAATTATTTCTCGATAATTCGATAAGGGATTAATTATTTTTCAAATTTGATCGATACACCGTATTAAAAATAAATTTTTTTCTTGAGAGAGAGAGAGAGAGAGAGATATTATTAGTAATTTAATATTATTGTTTATCAAAGCGTAATTGAAGAATTATTACTTCTCACATTATAAACTATCGAGAGAGAGAGAGAGAGAGAAAAATGTCGGGAGGGGGTTTTTTTTATATATATATATAAATTTAAACCAATTAACCTCAATTAATTGAAATCATCTTTGGTGGCACGGGAAAAGTTAAAATTTAAATTAATTAATTTAATAAATAAAAAATTTATCGTTTGTTAATTTAGTTTAAAAAAAAATTCTAGAAATTTCTATCGCTCGTAGGTAGAACAACGACTAAAATGATTTTATTTTTTATAAAAAAAAAAATTGTTTTACTTACCCCAAATACTCCAAATTTTCCATCAAAAATGATAGGAGGTAGTAGGTATAATATCTGGGGCATTTTAAACTACCCACGAAGAGGAAGGACAAGAACAACAGCACCTGGTGCATCATTACACGTGTGTGTGTGTGTACGTGTGGGGTGAACCATCTGCTCCTTCATCTTCTTCTTCTTCTTCTTCCTTTGCAACCTGGTTAAATTTTTTAAAAATCTTTAAGGGTTGTTTTGTTTTTTAAAACTCAAAACGATTCTTTTATCATTAGCCGATTGATAAGTCATAGTAGTTTTTAAATGTGGCAAATTCATTTTTATTAGGTTGTACATTATTAAGGTACATTCAAAGGTGGTAACGTATAAGTAGAGGAGGTCTTGCCCAAAATTCAAACAAATCCGTTTTTGTAAAAAATACCTTTCATTCCTACTAAGAAATTGAAAGCCTTCACATTTTTTTTTTTACATCATGGCAAACATCTGCTTTAATACAAAAAAAAAAAAAAAAAAATTTATATCTTTGTGTATAAGGTAGAACAGATGGTTTTAATAAATTTTTTTTTTTTGAAAAATTTCGAATGTGGCCCTCTCGTCGTCTGTCTTTATTTAAATCATTTTTCTCTCTCTCTCTCTTTTTTGCGTCTTTTTAACTGTCAGAAAAAATTTTTTTACTTACTTAATAGCAAAATCCTTAAGTTTACAATCGGATTGATTTTGTTTTTTCGGTTTCCATTTTTGTCTTTTCTTCTTCTTCTTCTTCTCCATCTTCTCCATCTTCTCCCTAAAATTAATATTAAAATAATAAAATCTACGATTTACAAAAAAAATTAGTTAAAAATGTCTGCGTATATTTTTATATACTTTTGTGATTAAGATGTCGTCATCAAATCATTCATTCATTGTCCACGGATTATATTAAATGTGACCGAATTATAATATTTAAGATTATTATTATTATTATTATTATTATCAACACGTGATAATTTCTTCTACTACCACGTGCCTGTGAAACCTAAACCAACTACATCTGTCTGTCGTGTATTTAAAAATTTTTTTTTTTTTTTTTTTTTTTTTTTGGGAAGCATGCCCAATTAATTTATTTTCATTCATTTGGGGGGGTTTTCTGATGATCTGATGCAAATTGTTGAAACGATAGAGGACACCTGAAATTACAAAGAACACGAATAAACAAAAAATTCTTTTTTGTGAGGCATAAAACATCTGCCGATTTTGTGTACCTGAAATTGAAACGATAAATGACCTTAGGCACGATGATACGATTACCCAAAAGGAAGTCATTTAATTTTTTTCCTTTTTTCATTTTTTACAACACGACCACCTGCTTTCCTTCTTCTTCTTCTTTTTCTTCTTTTTCTTCTTCCTATAACAAAAAACGTTTTTTATAATCGTGAATAAAAATCAAACACGCACACACGCACATTTATTAATGTTGCCAAATTTTGAAAAAGAAAAGATTTTTTTTTTAAGGTCCTAATTACCATTCCTCGACTTTGTGTATTTTCCAAAGCACCTCCTTTTATTTATAAAAAAAAAAAAAATGGGGGGGCGGATTTGCACAAATGCTTTGGGGAATCGATCATCGCGTTAATAATAATAATAATAATAATTTTTTTTTGTTTTCAGCGTCACTCCCGGATTATACACGGTTAATTTTCCATCGATGATGGGTCCCTGGGAAAAATTCGGAGTCGAATTGGTTTTAACATTTATCGTCACTTTTACATTTTTTACAAAAAGTGAAAAAAAATTATTCAATGATGGATCTCTTGCAATAGGAGTATCATATGCTGCTTGCTCTCTGGCAGGAGTAAGTAAAAAAATTTTAAATGTTAAATTAATTTTTTTTTTCCATCATTTTCCCATCAACCTGAATTTTCCAATCCGTCGATTTCCATCCTACCTGAAATTGCAAAAAAATTTTTAATGAACCTCCTTAATTTTTTAACAAAGATTTTTAACGATTTTTTAAAAAAAAAAACTTACCATCTTATAAAAGAGGGTCACAACAAACCGGAAGTTTTTTGTATTTTAAACAATTTAATTTTTTTTTAAAAATATTGTTCTTTAAAATTTTACTCTCTATCTCTATCTCTGTCTTTATCATTCCTTGGGGTTGTCATCAGGGAACCTCCCATCGATTTGCATATGAAATTTAATATGCATTTTTGTGTTGTAGATGCCCATGTTGAATCCTGCTCGAGCATTAGGACCGGCTTTCGTAATGAACAAACTGTGGGATAATCATTGGGTTTTCTGGTTCGGACCCATTTTCGGTAGCATATTAGCAGCGGTCATATATAAATTTATATTCAATTCTAAAAGGCACAACAAACGTCCGAATGAATCGATAGATGGAGGTACGTACAACCTACCTGAAATTTTTTTTTTGTTGCATCGTACGAACGTTTTTTTCCTAAATAGCAAATTCTTTTCTTTTTAAAGATTCGAGCATGAATTCTGAAGATGAACCTTTTCAAGACAATAAATATCATCCAGCTGCGTACAGGCCCGTCGGATCGGGAAATCCCACATCTCCAGGAGGTAAATTTTTTTTTTTTCCTGGAAAAAAATATCGGTTTTCAAGTGGTTAAGAGAAAAGAATTTTTAACTCGGGTTGTTTTTTTAGGTGCATATTGTCCGAGTGTCGCGTCGAATTCGGTCTTCCATTCTCCGCCTTCTAGATTGGATCGGGGTGATGCCGCCGGTAACTCAAGTAAATACAAACAACCTCCTCTGGGAGATGAAGTTTACTCCGGTGCGAGATCATTGTACAATGCAAAAGTCGGAGAAGGAATTTATTCGGGAACGAAATCGATGTACACGAAATCTCCAGCTTTGACGAGAGCCAATTTGAATCGATCGCAAAGCGTTTATTCCAAATCTCAAAACCCGAGAGATTTGCTGCCCAAACCCGGTCCTCTCATACCAGCTCAAAGTTTGTATCCCATCAAATTAGGAAACGGTGGTCACTTAACGGCAAACATGCGAGATTTCGGTGCTCCAACGTCCAATTTCATATCGGGAATTAAAACCAACGATGGAAATTTCATTAAAGTACCTCCGAGTAACGATCATAATAGGGTCAACGAAATGACGGAAAATGTAATTAATATACCACCCATGCGAAATTTAACGTCGAGAAGTTATCACGATGTCACGGATGTCGAAAAAGCAAACATCCAACAGCAGAATTACACCGCTGCTGCCGCCGCCGGAGATCATTTAACAAATCAAAACGTTCAAAATCAACATTTGCTCAATTTAAAACCGGAAAAAAATCCAACGGAAAATATTTACGGTATTAGAAACACTCCAACAGGAGGTTTATATCCGGGAAATGACGTCGGACCGAGACCGGAAAACAAACGGGAAATGCAAGCCAAACGAGAATGTTACGACGCATTAGCCAGAGGACACGATAGCAGATCCGAAACGCCCAGGAGTCAAGCCAGTTCTAATTTCAGCAGGACGGCCGCCTACGTAAAATCCGTCCAGAATAATCCCGGTTACAAAACGCGGGAATCCAATTACGACATCGTACCGAGCGGAATACGAGAGGTGTCTAATTTTAATCAAAAACCTCCTCATCATACCCGTTCCGAAACTTCCGACTACGGATCTAACAGTTTAACAAATCAGTTTTCAGAATGAGGGTGGCTTCCTCCTTCAAAAGAAGGAGGAGGAGGAGGTCTTTCAAAAGACGTAGAAAAAGGAAACATTTCCGAATTGAAATATATGGAGGATAAAAATTTAGAAAAAATACCTCCTCAGACTTCTATCCAACCGGCGGAATCGAGGCAACAGTGGAATGATGATCAACCGGTTACTTTGATAAGGCAAACGGGTACTTCCTTCATGGCCTTACAAAATTTTGTTCAGCAAACGAGTAGGCCTAGTCCAATATCGACGAGTTCGAGTGCCAACTACGACAGGAATCCAACGACTTCACAATATCAATTTAACTGAAAAAAAAAAGAGAAAAAAAGTTTATTTTGTACATAAATAACTTATAAACTAGTCTATTGTTAATTTGTATAGTTAATATAGGATATTATTTTTGTGTATTCATTTTTTAAAAAAATCGCCATTTTGTTTTAGTTTTATCATAGGGAAACAAAAAAAAAATTGTATTTTAAAATAAATGTATATGATATTTATTATTATTATTATTATTTTTTACGATAAATGACATTAATTAATTATTATTATTATTCGTACAATTTTTTTTTGTAATGCTCAATATTTTTATATAAATAAAATAAGTATCATTATTATTTCGATAACGATTTAATTTTCAAAAAAAAAAACCTCTCCTCTCGCATACTAAGAAAATTTTTTTTTTAATGGAAAACGATATTAAAAATTAAAAAATTTAAAACGAATTCATGCAAAAAACGTTTTTAAAAAATTATTATTACGTGATAATGAAATTTTTATCAAAAGTCTAAAAAAAAATGATGAACATTTGACAGACATTTATTGTTCCCTGTTTGTGTTTGTTTGTTTGTTTGTTATTTTTCTACTTAATTAACCTTGTGACGAGCTAAGCTACATTCGGTGCATATAATAATTACTAAATCTACAAACAAAATGAAAATCGTAAGTTTCATTTTCGTTTGGAAAAAAAAAAAAAATCAATCAATCAATCAATCAACAATTCGATAGATTTTGATTTGACGTTATCAAAACATTTTTAACGGATTCCGCAGAATCGAAAAGATTTTTTTTACTTCCGCCCCCGCTGCCGCCGCCACCGAAATTATCAAAAAATTCATTTAATTTCCCTTGTGAAAAAAATTTATTTTTTATATTTTCATTTGAAAACCATAATGAATTGTTTGTCGTTCCCTCAAAGTTCGATGATGGTTCCGTTGTATTTTTATAAACCTGAAAATAACAAAAAAAACATTACGATAATAATAATAATAATTGATTTAAAACAACGTATATGAATATTCTAACGATTTCCCTTTTTTTTATAAAATCTTATGAATATTCTATCATAAAATCTAAAATTTAAATCTTTCCTCCTCCTTCTTCTTCTTCTTCTACCTTTTTAAGGTACGATTGCGGAAAATATTTTCGTTTGTTATTAACCGTGACCTTGCGAAGCCATGTTTGTTTTTTTTTCAAGTGATTTTATCCAAACTTACTTCGTTTTTTAAAAAAGTATATTTTTGAGAACCGTTCGAATCAGGTCTTCTCCAAACTCTGAGTCTTATGTATAAGAAGACGACGAGGTTGACGCAGGTCAAAGTGAGAGAAAAACCTGGAAAAAAAACAAACAAAATTATATTTCAACGAGTTCCAGAAAAGGTTTTTCAGTGGCGAGACATAACCTTAAATGAAAAATATGTAGAACCTTAGAGAATACTCACCGATGAGTACTAATGCAATCGTATACCAATTATAATTATTTTTAATAATTTCCTGTTCTTCGAAACCTTTTATTATATCAGAATTTTTATCAATTTGTTCCCAACTAATTCTTTCCGATTGATATTCTTTTTTATTTTCTGCAACAACAACAACAACAACAACCGATACAAATGAATTTTAAAACCTTTTCATCCATCCCAAAGGAAAAACAAATTTTTTAACACAAAACCTTTTATTATTTTTTTATTAGAAATTTTTTCCATTGGTATTATAACAAAATGTTTCCTTTTAGAATCATCCATCATCGTCGTCGTCGTCGTCGTTTCTTCCTTTGATTCTTCTTCGAAACTTTCCGCATAAATTTCTTCTGATGAATTTTCACTTTCTTTTTCATTTTCCATCGAATCATCATCATCATCATCAACAACATTTACAACCTTTTTATCAACTTTCAACTGATTGGTGGTAGGACATAATTCACGTTTGATAGAATTCCAATAAGTTATGCTGTGATTCAAAGATAAATTTTCACTAAAAAAAAAACAATAATGATAATAATATTAATAAATAATTATTATCAGGTAACTATAAAATATTGTTAAGTACAATTAACAACATAAAAATCATTAAAAACGTTGCAGACTTTTCTATAATGGCCGATTGAAATTTAATTTTTTATTAAAATAAATAAATGCAAATCAGAATTTGCAACACAATTTTAACGATATAATAATAATAATAATAATAATAATTTTGTTGTCATGTCGTCCAATAGAGTGTCAAACTCGATTGTCGAATACGAAGGGACAATAAAGGGAAATGAGTCAATAAAAAGGAAACAATCGTATTAGTTTTTCCATTGTCCATTTTTATTTGTACATTTCCACATGTTTCGATTAGTAAAAAATCAAAAAAACTAAAAAACTTTCAAGGTTTCGTCCTTCTTTAAAGTTTTTTTGACCTTCGATTTAAAAAAATTGTTGATTTTTTTCTGCTGTAGCTTTTATTCAAGTTCCTGTTGTCTTGCTGAAGCAATAATTTAGTTTAATAAAAAAAGAAAAAATTCTAATAAAAAATATCAACTTACCACTGATCACGAGAAATATCCGATTGGATTTGATTTATTTTAAATGGCGAAATTTTTTTTATGGCTAATCCGACCACTAATTCATCCAAATCCTTTCCACAAATCAATGGATTATTTCTTAAATCCACAACGCATAACGACTCAAATTTTTTCTCCTTTAAACATTTTAAATCTTTTATATTGTTGCCATTCAAATTTATTTTTTTTAATTTTTCATATGTGACATTCGAATTGCAAAAATTTGAAATTGCATTGTTGCTCAAATCCAAATCCGTTAGAAAAACGTTATTTTTAAAATTTTTCAAACTTGCTTCCAAACCGTTGTATGACAAATTAACGCGAGCGAGTTGATGATTTTTATAAAATTCAAAACCGGTCAAATTAATTTTATTAAAAGCAAGATCTATTATTTTTAAATTGTTTAAAGGTTGAAGACTATTTGAGAGAACCTTAATGTTGTTGAAACTCAAATCCAAAACGTTTAAATTTGGCGTAGATGTGAAAAATTCGCCATCGATAATTTCGAGACCGTTATGCGACAAATCCAATTTGACAAGATGATTTAAAATGGCGTCGAAACGTTTGAGAGATTGAATTCGATTGCCTTGCAAAGATAAATGACTGAGATATAAATTGTTGCGGAATAAAGATGGTTTTATTTCATCTATGTGATTCCATGCCAAATTTAAAAATTTCAATTCGTACAAATCCGAAAATGGATCTTCGATCCGTTGGATTTGATTAGCAGCTAAACCTAATTCTTCTAAAAAGAACATTTTATCAAATGAATTTGATTTTAATGAAATTAATTTATTTCCAAACAAATCCAGACTTTTAAGTTTTGGTAATTTGAAACCCTCTGTTGATGTTAATTTGTTACCAGGAGCTAAAATTCTCAACAAATTATGATTATCTTCAAAAACATTTTTTCCAACATGTTCTATATTGTTTTTGGATAAATCAATCATTGATAATTTGTACATTGTTTTTAACGAATTATTCATTTCTTTTATTTTATTATGACTGAGATCTAAATAATTAACATTATGACCCTGTATAGAATTTTCTTTCACATCTTCTATATCATTTTCTGACAATATCAATTCTTCAACATTTGATAAATTCAATTCCAAATCATGGATGCCAACATTCTTCAGTATTAAAATTTCTAAACTTGGTAATTTTGTAAACGTTTGAGGATGAATTTTCTCTTTGATTTTATTATTGGACAAATCTAAAAGATTTAAATGTTTCAAATGATCAAATGCATCTTTTTCAATTTTATCAAATTGACAATTAGATATTTTTAATAAAGCCAAATCCTTGTTAAATGTTTTCAAATAAGAATCAGTCAATTGAGTAAGTGTTATGTTATGCATTTTTGCATTTAGTGTTGCATTATGCATTTCAATTTCTGGAATTTTATTGAAACTTCCTACAAAGTTTATCAATACCAGTAGGGTAAAAATATGAAACCATTTAGATGAATTTAAAGTCATCATTGCGATTCTGAAATTGTAAAAAAAAAAAAACAAAAAAATTAACAATAATTTCAATGATAAAACTTATTAAACCGTTGAAAACAAAATGGCGGAAAAGTAATTGAAGTAATGACTTGACATTTTAGTAAAATCTTTTCAAAATCAAAATGTGTTATCAATACCAACACACACAACACTTTCTCACCTAATAATTATTTTTTTTTTTACGATAACGATAATTTTATCACTAAATAATATTTTCTTATTTGATTTATTTTTACAAATAATAACTTATCGAATCTATGAGATAAAGTTCACTTAACACTTTCATCATCTAAAAACATTAAAAGTTGTAATTAGGTTACAAAAAAAAAGTTACGTTTTTTAAACGTCGTTTTTAATTTAATATTAAAAAACATTTTGTGAAATTTAAATTTAATAAAAAGTATTACCTCGTTAAAATTAAATTTTTATCTCAAAAAAAAAAAAAAAAAAAACAACAACAACGACATTTGATCATATTATGACTAAATATGATATTTCCGTCCAAAAAAATAATTTTTTTTTAAAATTATCATCATTATTGTTATTATTTAAACTATTTTTAGTGTTATCGTGCATTTTATGTCATGTCACTATAAAAGAAAAATATATTTCAAAGTTCAATTAATAATTAATCACCTTTCAGATAAAATAAAAAAAAAAACAAATTTTAATGGATGTTTATAACATAACCTAATCAGGTTAAATAATCCCCGCTTTTTTTCCACCGCCTTCTTTAACAAAAATTTTTGTTTTATTTATTCTAATTAGTCATCATACTGTTAACAATCGAATACAAAAAAAAATTATTTATCTTATTTTAACAAATTAAATATTTTATTTAAATTACGTATAATTTATTCTGTTTATTTCGTTTTGACATCACGTATAATCCCTTTTTTTTAAATAAATAAATAAATAAAACTATTTACATTTTATTGTTAAAATTCGACTTCTTTTTTTCACTCATATTAATTCATTAAATTTTTTTGTTTTAAATTTTACTTGTTTTAACGGATTTGAATTGATTTATAGATAAAATATATTTAATTAAAAAGGTTAATTGAAGTATTTTGTTAAAAATTGAAGTGTAATTGAAGAATTTTAAAAAAAAAACGTACCTTGATTAAAATAAGCGTTGAACATCACACAAAATTAATCACAATTTAATTTTAACTTTATTTTATTCACACACCGTTTATTTCAAAGAGTTGAAAGAAACTATTAAAATGATAACACAAAAAAAAAAAAATGAAAAACGACGACGACGACGACGACTGTTTCTTTCCACAAAATATCGCACATTTAAATTCATCAAGTATGTTCGGATGTCAGTTTTTTACCTTCATAAAATAAACAAAACAATATACTTGTTTGTCGGAAATTTAAAAAGACTTGCACACATATTATAATTACTTTGTTTGCAAGTTTTTTTAAAAAAAATTTTAGTCGTATCTCTTATCTCAAACGTGAAAACACAACATTGCAATTAATAAATGCTTTATTTTCACGGTCAATTTAGAATTTTATCACCTGAAGGCCCCACCTTTGCCATTTTCACAGACTTGTTCTAAACAATTTTTTTTTTTTTTTAAGAGTTTAAAATATTTAATTTAAAAAAAAAAAAACATTATTAATTAATAAAAAATATAAATAAATATTAATTAACGTAATACAGTCATTTAAATTAAAAAAAAAAAAAAAAAAGAGAGAAAATGCATCAGAATTGTCATGATGCATTAAAAAAACATTTAACTCATCCATGTCAATATGCATGCCCCATTGCATTACTCCATCAACTTATTATTATTATTATTATTATTAAATTGTTCCAGATACATTTTATCGATGATTAAATTTTTATAGGAATGAATATTATTGTAAATTTAGTTTTTACCAATCGAAAGTCAAGTATTCCAACGTTATTATTATTATTATTTTTTTATATAAACTACTTAAAAATTAAAGATAAAAAAAAAAAAAAAAGGGAAATTTATTTTTTGTAGAACGTCTTTACCTACTTAACGACTCTGATTAATTTTTTTTTTTTTTTTGCTTTTTATCTCAGTGTTAAAAAAATTACAATGATAATGATAATTATTTGACAAAAACACATAAAAAATTTTAGACTTTTCTTTTGGGCAAAAAAAAAAAAAAAAAAAAAAAAAAAAATCAATTAAATTAATTAAGTATTATTATTTTTATTATTAAAGTCTTTTTTTTTTCTTCTTCCTATCTCGAATTATAATTTTTTTGTTAAAATAATTTGTTACTATTTATTTATTTATTTATGAGCTAATTTTTTATCGTTTGCGAGCCTTCGTAATAGTTTGTTGCCACACAAGAAAGTCACTAAACCTATAACCATGAGGTATTTCATAGTTTGAAACATGTTTAACTGGAGCCAAAATAAACCAAACAATCCAAAAATGGCTCCCAAACCGAGATGAAAACCCAATGCGCTTAGGGTTAACGGAAAATTCGACACGTTTATTCTGAGTCTTCCCCACAGGATGAACAGGAGAAGAAGGGGAGCACAAACGAGTGCACTGAATAAATTCGATACGAATTTGGCAGGACGTTTTTCCGGTTCCCTGAAAATATGCTTTAAAAAAAAAAAAAAAAAATAGTGCATCAAAACAAACATTTCCCTTAAGGCATGTCCCAAAACTTTAGGAGTACTTTGTAAAAAACCTAATTTCATTCATAAATACCTTGATTTCAGGTTTAGGCTTGTATGGATCCAAAGATTTATCTACTTTTGGCTCTCCAGTGAAACTAAGTTTGACATAACCAAGTTTCCAAGTGAACGAATTGGACAAGACTGCATCTCCTACGATAAGTTCCAACTCATACAATCCTGATATTTGATCAAAATCTTCCGCTTTGGCACCAATATCCTAAAAGTTTTGTTTTTTTTCGAACATTCAAATGAAAACAAAAGTTTGCATGATTGGTTTTCTAATTAATATTATTATTATTATTATTATTATAATTACCAAATCAAATTTGTACTGTAAACTAGAATCAGGTTCTGCAACAAATATGAAACTTTTATCTTTAGCCGTATTGTAAAATCGAACAAAAACTTGATGAACTGATATGAGTTTGTTAGTCGATTGATCCTTAATATTAAATTTCATTATTATTTTCTGTTGAGCATCCACTTCGATTTGTTTCGACAATTTATTTGGAAATTTAATTCTGACAAAAAAAAAAAAAAAAAAAAAACCAAAATTTTCAGTTTAATTTTTAAAATTAATTTAAGCAAAACAAATAGTTTTTTTTTTTTTAAAATTACCGTTCTAATTTAGGCATGGTTGTTTGATCGGAATCGGCAGTACCAACATCTAAAAATTCAATTTCAGCAGCACATAATACTTTAACTGGAATATTCGCTGATATATTTTCAATCGTTTTTGAATCTGGAGATTTCATCGTTGCACTCACAGATAATTTATACATTCCTCTCTCTGGTTTAACGTCCATAAAATTTAACGTAAATAATGTGCTGGGGAGGGAGGGGGGAAACAAAAATAAATAAATTTTGTAGAATAAGTAAATGTTAATGATTGATTTTGAAAAATGTAGGTAAATTTTTACCTGTCTGAAGTAGGTTCAAATTTTTTTTTTGTAAATATGGAAACATTATCGGAAACTCTGGTCGCAGAATCAGCAATCACGCTTAATGGTTTTACAGGATTACCTAAAACATCACTCACTTTGATGGTAATTTTAGAATTTTCTTTACTGACGGATGAACTTCCAGAAACAGTAACGGCAACAGGAAGATAATGCTAAATAAATGTGCATTTTTTTAAAAACATTTTTAAATTAGAATTTAAATAATTAAAAATTGATATTAATTGGTTAATAAACCTACATTATTTGTAGTCAGCATATGCAGAGCTTCTAACAAACTCCAAACTCCTTTCGGTGTTTGAACCGATTTTCTACTCAAAAAGTAATTAGCAAATTTAACTACTTGATTTTTTGTCAATGGTACAGGTTTATTAACAACTGATGATAGTTTGTAGGCACCTCTAACAATTAAAGCTACATAACAAAACAAGAATTAATAATTTAGTTTCTTTAATATAACATAAAATTTTTTATAATAAAAAGAAACTTGATACTTACCAGTTATACTTAAACCACCTTCAAATTGTAAATAATTCGAATCGACTTCATCAGCTTGAACAACTGCATCCTCGATTCTTTCAAAAGCAAAGGCTCCATCACTACCCAAATTAGAAGCAATGTGAAATAAATATCCTAGATTCACATGAGAATCATTTTTCTTCAAAATTGCTTGCATGCTTTTAATCAACTTTGCAACATCTTGAGGTTTTTGATTTAAAGCTTTCAATGCATTTACAGCATAATACAATTCTTGCATATTTGTGCTTTCACCAATAACTGAATTCAAAGCTTTGACCATTTTCATTACTGGCAAAGCCTGAGGACATTTACCCAATGCATTGTAAGTTGTTGCTATATAAAACTGAATTTCAGCATTTAAAACAGGAGCATTTGCTGCTTCGAAAAAAAATTTACACAATTCATTGCTTTTAGGGATACTTTCTCCCAATAATTTAAGTCCTAAAATTCCAAAATGTACTGAAGCAAAGTCTTTAGCATCCACAGCTTGAAGTAATATTGTTTTAGCATGATTTTTATTTTCTGGAGTAAAGTATGAATATGTACTTAAACATTTACTAAAACCGAGGCAAGTTGCCAATAAAAATAACAGCACTAAAAAAAAAAAGAAAAGAAATTTTTAATGATTTTTGACAGAATTTTTCCCGAATAAAAGGTAAATTTTACAAAGTAATCACAAAAGGTCATTTTTTTGAAATTTTCTATTAAATGTAAATTTTACTTTATCGAATTAATAAAATTATCATAAAATTAGCAAAATTTAAGGATGAAAGTAAAATTTTAAAATAAGCCGGTGAGAAAGTTTAATACTACTGTCAAAAATATAAAATTCCTTTGTGCATAATATCCGATCATGCACTCATATTGTATATAATACATACCAGCCTTCATTTTAATGTTTTAAATGCAAGAAATTAAAAGTATTTAAAATTATTAGGTAACAATAATTTGTTCCTTAAGCGTACATGTCAACAAAAACGTGGCCAAACTTATCTCGTTTACAGTACTGACAACAAAACTTTAACGAAAATGGATTATTTTCCTTTGACTCAAGACGCTTACTTTCGGTCAACCCAAAGTACATTATAAAATTTTTTAACACCTTTTTGGGAGATTAAAAATGAGTAAATTTGTATTAAGGAAATTCATTTTAGGGATTAATTGCGTACTGCGGCAAAATAATATAATTAAATACCAAAATAAAAACATTTTTCTCTTTTATGTTTAAGGAATTTAGTATACGGATTGAAATTGAACAAGGATTATTTTATAAAAAAAAATTCAACTACAATACTGTCTAATATATCCATAATAAAATTTATTTAGATTTTGCAGCAGCTAATTCATCTTCCTTTTGGAAAAGAAGTAATTGTTCTTGCTTCTTTTGTAAAATTCTCTCTTCACGTCGTTTCTTTGCTTGCTTGACTTTGTTTCTTCGAGCTTCTGCTTGGTCGCTAAGCATTTTACTCCTAGCTTTTTCTGCTTTTTTCTTATGAATAAACTCCATTAAAACTCTTTTATTCTTGAAAACGTTACCCTTGGCTTTCATATATAATTGATGGTAGAGATGTCTATCAATTTTTTTTGCTTCACGATATTTTTTCAAAAGGCGACGAAGTACTCTCATTCTGTTCATCCAAAGAGTCTACACAACATTAATGATAATTATAATTAATTAACAAAACCAAATAAAATTTAGAAAAAGTAAAAAAAATGCAAGCCCATACCTTTCTAGGAGTTCTGGCATTAGCTGTACCTTTTCTTTTACCAAAACCACAATGTCTTCCTTTCCTCCTAGCTTCGGTAAACTGTCTTACTCTTGCTCTAGAGTGAACAGCGACAGGTTTTTTTATAATCAAACCATCCTTAATTAATTTTCTGATGTTTTGTCTAGAATTTGTATTTGCAATTTCATTGACTTCGTTAGGATCAAGCCAAACTTTTTTCTTACCACATCTCATAACAGAGGCTGCTAGCCTCTTTTGAAGTTTTAAGGAACTACTGTAATAAAAAAATAAAATAAATAATTATTTAAATTTATCCCCTAATAATTTTTTTTTTTTTTTCAATAAATATAAATGACTTGACATAATTTTAAGAGTTTATTAACAGTAATATAATGTAATCTTCCATTGTGATAATTTTAAAATAATGGAAGGTATTTACGGGTGCAACAACAGTTAAAAACCTTTATTTTGAAAAATAAAAAAAAAGATTACAAAATAAAATGAACATAATGAAATTGGTCGTAAAAATTTATAAAAATATAATTATTTAATTTTTTCAAATCGAAATAAATTATTAAAAAAGTATAATTGTAATCTAGCATGAACACACTACCATACGTGAATTCAACGTGGTTGCACAAATTTTCTCAATAATAAATAAATTTTATTAAATAAATATTAAAACTTAATATGTTAATATTTAGCTTAAAATTCGGAATTCGATTCATTCGTAAATACAAACAATTTTCAGTATTAACGATGAAAAATATAATTATATTACCTCATATTGAATTCCAAAAAAACTTCTTAACACTTCAATAACAAAATGGCGGATCACTTGTTTCCTGTTTCCTTTTTATCAAAGGAAAAACAAAATGGACGATTGAACAAAACTTTCACATTTGGCGGTTTCGCGGAATTACTTTCTTTTTGTTTCGTTTAGAAAAACTAAATTATTAAATGTTTAATAATGTAAAATTCATAAAATATAAAATTTTTAAATAAATACGTAATAATTTCGGAAGTTTTGTTATGTATTATTTCATTTTCTAGGTAAAATCCTTTACAATGGACATTTTACATATATATATATATATATATATAAATTTCAAACGTTTTTTTTTTCGGATAATTTTTTATTGAAATAAACAAATAAAAAAAAAACTAAAAATGGAAGAAGCTTAATTTATTATTATTATTATTTCAATTATCATCATTATTATTATATCTAACAATTTAAAACTTGCAATTTATATCTACATTTATTTATCATCAACAAATCCATTACACGTTTATTATTATTATTATTTTAATTATTATCATCATCATCATCATCGTCATCATTAATATCTTAAATAAATAACCCTAGTTATTATTATTATTATTATTAATTTAATTTTAATAAATTTATTTCAAAATTAATCATTATTAATAATAGTAATAATAATTAAAAAAATCAATAATCAATAATTAAAAAAAAAAAAAAAATCTTAACATAAAATTATAATAATAATAATAATAATAATAATTTTGTTTTGTTTTTTTTCTCATTAATTTATTATGAAATTTTTTTTTTTTTTTAAACAATGACAGGATTCGTTTCCAGGTTTTTAGGTAGGATTTATTGGTAGGTTTCCTTCCTCACTCCCCCCTCCCCCCCCGACTCAATGAAATAATAAAGCTATATGGTAACGACGTTAATAGTTATTAAAAAATAAGTTAATAAACATTTCAAGGTACTTTTTGACATCACTTAATAGTTTTCCATGTTTATCCTTACTCCATTTTTTTTTTATAATATAATAAAAATTTTGCTCAACGATTTAATTTGAAAATTACCAGATTTTTTTTACAATAGATCTAAATTATTAAAAATGATAATAATAATAATAATAATAATCAATACACGTGCACAAAATAAATAAAAAAAAAATTTACAAACAAATAATTTATTTTTATTAATTTATTTTTTACCCTTAAAAGCTTTATCATCATCATCATCATCATTATTATTATTATTTTGTTTATAATATTTACATTCGATTTAACAACTATTATTATTATTAATAATAATAATAAATGAATTTTCTTTTAATAAAGCACGTGATTATTGAAACATGTCATTTTATATTTAAAAAAAACAATTTCTGACCGTTATACACGTTACACATATTGACAAATAATTAATAATAATAATAATAATAATGATAATGATAATAATGAGACATTTTTTTATATTTTCAGTCCGTGCGTTCGTCGAGCAAAAAAAAAAAAAAAAAAAAAAAGAAAAGAAAGAAATTTACAATCAGATAATTAGGCAGTGTTTTTTGTCGATAAGTTAAACATGTACACAAATTAATTAATGACAATTAAATTAGCCGTTAATTAACCTACCACCACCCCCTCCTCCCTCCCTCCTGGTTTTTGTTTTTTGTCAAACATCCCCAATATTATTATTATTATAACCATCATCATCATCATCATCATCATCATCCCCATCAAAGTTTATATTTAAAAAAAAAAAAATTTCATAAATCAATGAGAAAAAAAGAAAAAAAAAATCTAATAATAATAATAATAATAATAATAATTAGTATAACATTAAAAGCTCTTTCATTTACACACACGCACAAAATAATAATAATAATAATAATAATAATGATAATAATAATAAAACATTATAACATAAAATTTAAAAGAAAAAATAGAGAAAGAGCGCTTATTAATAAAAAAACAAAATTATTATTATTGTTATCATCATTAATTTTTCTTATTTATTTAAATTTACCTTAATTTTAATATAATGCATATCAATTATAGTCATCATCATCATCATCATCATTATTATTATTATTATTATATATATATATATATATATATATATATATATATATTTATATTATACATTAATTGTTTGTGTTTAATTCAATATGACTCTCCCTTTTGGCAGTTAATCGTTTATTTTTTCAAGAGGATCTTTACAAAAAAAAAAAAAACAAAAAAAAAAACAAAAAAAAAGAAATTCTCTCATTAAAAAAACAAATGATTTCAACATGAATATCCCATATACGATAATAGCGATAATAATAATAATAATAATAATAATATTCAAAACACGGTCGCATTATTACTATTATTATTATTATCATTATTATTTTATTTTTTTTTTTTTTAAATTTTTTTTTGTTTACTTTTACGTAATATATATATATATAAATAATAAATGTGAAATGAATAAAATGATGTTTTTTTTTTTTTAATAAGATAATGATAATTTTTGTTATTATGTCATAAATTACAATCGTGAATAATAATAATAATAATAATAATAATAATAATAATAATATTAATTATTGTAATAAAAAAAGAAAAAATTAAAAAATTAAATTACAGGTTTTTTACACGATATAAAATAAATTTTCTTCCCCTCTCTCTTTCTCTCTCTGATTGTCCAGAAAAAAAAAAAAATAATAATAATAATAAAAAAATTAATAAATAAAAAATACATAAATAAATAAATAAAATAATAATCGAAATAAAGTTGATAATAATATTGATAATAATGATAATAATAATTCATTTTAAAAAAATTAATAAAATTTTTTGTTAACATAAAAAAAAAAAAAAAAAATTACATAATTTTAATTTTATTTATTTATTTTATTTATTTGTTTATTATTTTAAAGCTATTAAATAAAAAATTATTATTATTATTATTATTATTATTATTATTATTATTTTAATAAATTTCTCGACCTTTTTAACACATTTTAGAACGTGAACAAGAAATTTTTTTTATTGTTTACAATTATGAACAATACAAAAATTTTTTTCCAACTGCGATAATAATAATAATAATTCCGAGAGGAAGAAATAATAATAATTATTATTATTATTATTATCATTATTTATTTTTCTTCTGCTTTACTGTAATACTGTAATATCAAAAAAAAAAAAAAAAAAAAAAAAAACGATAAACATAACAAACGATTTATATGTTACATAAAAAATTTTTATGCTTGGTCCTTAATTTTTTAATTTATTAATTTTCTCCCCTTTCGTGATAATGCGTGGGTGGGCGGGCGCGTGTGGGTTTGAATGAAATAATTTAATTATCTAAGCTGCACCATAATCATCTAACAAAATTATCATCATCATCATCATCATCATCTATCCCTCTTTTTACTACTAAAATAATAATAATTATTATTATTATTATTACTTAATAAAATTAAAATATATAAATATAAATGAAAAAAAAAAAAAAAAAAAAAATTTAAGTTGTACTTTTTCTTCTTCTTCTTCCACGTTTACAATGCATTGTAGAAAAATTATTTAAAAAAAATTATTGATTTTCAATTATAGCCATTCATCGATTGATTCATCATACGGGGGGGGGGGGGGGAAATCCGAGGGGAGGGGAGAAGAAAAAAAAAAATACATTCAAATCTTACACACATCGATACATCATATTACAACTACACACACATAATTAGTGAAATAAATACACATAATACATAAGTATACATAAGTATACGTACATACATACATACATAACTTTCCCCTTTGAACGTGAAACTACCCTTTTTCCATTACTACCTACTATTATTATTATCATTATCATTAATTTTATTAAAAGCATCGTCCAAAAAAAAAAAATTTTTTTAAATAAAATAATAATAATAATAATAATTTTTTTTTTAAAAATAAAATTATATGATAGTCATCATTTAAAACAATCAACCCGACCTTTTCATCGAATGAATAAATAATAATAATAATAATAATAATAATAATAATAATAAAAATGCATAGAAGAAAATTTAGTTTTTTTTTTTTCTCTTCTTCTTCTTCTTTTTAGTTTTTAGAGATTATTAACATTAAAAATTTTTTTTTTTTTACTTCTTTCTCATCTTACATTTTAATACAAATTTAAATCCTTTTCGATAATAACATATATGCGGCTTTTTTTTTTTTTTTTTAAAAAACAAAACTTCTATTCTCTACCCCTGTCTGAAGAACTTTACAACACATTTAAACTACGACAATACTTATAAATTACATTGTGTACATAATAATAATATTATTATTATTATTATTATTTATTATATTCCCTCTCGGTGGTCACTCACCAAAAAAAAAAACATTTGCTGCACTTTTCTTTTCTTTTTTTTAAAAGTAAATAAAAAGGTTTACAGAGCAGCATGTCTTAGAATTAGTAAAGATTGTCCTACGTGAATATATATATATATATATATATATATATGACGTCATAAATGAAAATTTGAGCCAAATAATAAGACGATTCGTTCCTTCTTTTTTTCAGGTATGCCCAAACCAATGCAGCAGCAGCAGAATAAATTTTCCTTTTTCTCACGAAGAAAAACCTTTTTTTTTACAATCACGCGAACGTTACTTAACGATGAATGAAGAAAACCTTTCTATGCGAAATACATGACTTTCTTCGTTTCCGGATGAACTGTTATTGCTCTGGCCATGGCTCCCGGCGTTCTGTCTTCCGAACAACTACTCTGATGCGAACCTTCGGCGCTACAATTCCAAAAAAAAAAAAAAAAAAATTACACACACGTGAATACACACAGACCGACATCAAACATAACGTTTTCCCATTCAATACCTGTCATGTTCTTTTTCCACCAGGTGATACCTCGCACGGAATGCAACAAGATGAGCGTAATAGGCAGGAGCAGGTATGGACACGGACCTCGTGCATCTCACGTAGGTATGACACAATTGATAAGTCAAACATTGAAGTTCATCCGAATCGAAACGATTATCGTCCCACAAAACGTGATAGTGACTCGGTCTGGATGTTCCCTGCGAAGGGGAAAAAAAAAAAAATAAATAAATAAATTTTTTTTTTCCCCCATTAATATTAGAATCATCATCATTATTATTATTATTATAATTTTAAAACTTTTACTGTCGCGTACCTGAATTCCTTGGTGACTGCATAAATAAAAATCAAATTCCGTCGGATGCGTGATTCCGACGTCAACCGTCGTTCCAGCCGGTATATTTCCACTTTTACCCGATTGTTCCTTCTTGTCGGCGCAAAACAATCTCGTGTGATGTCTTTTTTGCACAACGATAAAAGTTATACCGGGTTTGTAATCTCCTTCCAATTGAATGCAAGCTTCTCTAACGGCCGTCAATTCGTGTTGAAGAACTGAAAAATGATCTTGCACTTTAAAAACCTTTCGTAACCGAGAAAAAATTTACGTTTATTAAAAAAAACACGGATAACCCACGTGTAAAAATTGTCCTTCCGACACACCGTCACGATACATGATGATCCTATGAGGTTTATAACCTCCCGTAGATTTGTAAAACATTAACAAAAGCTCTCTCACCATCGAACTGAGTTCCTGTATTATTTCTTGCCTGTGCTGTTGAACTCTAAAACAAATAAATTTTTGCCGTTTAAAAACTAATTTTCATGAGTTTTGAATCTCTTTCAAAAAAAAAATTTTAACCTCTTGTATTAGTTGACACAAACCATAATTTAAAAAAATTATTATTATTATTATCATTATTTTTTTTTTTTAAAGGAAGGAGGGAATATAACATACGGATTAGCTGATCTTCAGTATTACACGTATTGGAAAATGGTCATTTAGCAAGGAAACATATATTCGAGGATAGGTAATTTTTTTGGGAAAACCCCAAATTTTTTTTTTTTTTTTTTTTTTTTGGCAGGTCATTACCAGCGCGAGCCAAACATATATACGAACAAGTTGTGTCAAGCTGAAAAAAATGAATGATGTTCTTGAGCCGAAAATTTATTTAATTTTTCAAACGTCTTTCATTTCCCTCGAATCGTAATTTTCCGGGAAAAAAAATGAAATTCCTTACCTCACGGTAGCTGCATAACGACTGGGATGACCATCCATCGATCCCACGACGGCAGCAATGGAAGGTTTTTTATTATCACCAGCAGGTGGATGAGTTACGTCTGCTCCTAAAAATATTACCGGTTCGTTGAACACCTGGAAAAATATAAAAACCACATTATTATTATTATTATTAACATTTCTTTCACGTGTAAAAACGAGGGAAAAAAAAAAAAAAAAAAAAACTACCTTTGGTCTAATGCTAGGTACAAGTATCGAATTAATACCGCCCAATTTAACGTTTATTTTTAAACATAAATTCGACAGAGTTTGCGGAGAGGTTTTTATAACATTTTTCGCTTGAACACATTGAGTTGCCATTCCTAGTAATGTATCGCCGACGCGTTTGACTTCAGCTAAAAAATATTAATGAAATAAACATCGGTTAATTTTATTAACTAATAAAAAAAAAAAAAAAAAAGAAAAAAGTTCGAGTCATAAATGCTTACCATACACGGGAGTTTTTCCCGGCAATACGACAACAACTAATTGTAAAGCGTGAAAACTAGATTTCAGGTACCGGAACATGGGTTCGACTTGATCGGGGCCCGTGGCATATTTACAAAAGCATGGTTGTCCAACAATCGGCATTCCAGCGTCGTTTGAAATTCTTTGAAGTTGTTGAATAAAAGCCCTGAAATTATAATTTTAGGAATTGAAAAAGATTTGCTAGTAGTAAAACAAAACAAAATTCACTTGATGATAATCACCTTACTGCATCGTCTTTAACAGTTCTTTGCGGTGCGAAACAAGCAATGGCCCAAACGCGGATTTCTATCCCTGAGAAAAATTGTTTCCCTCTCATGTCCCAAACGCCGCCGATCGGCATTGCTTGTTGTTTGGCATGAAAAGAATTTCTAATAGCAAATTCGTCGCTGCTTAAAAGAGACGATCTTCCACCGTATTGCAATTTCGGAGGTGGTAAAACTCTCCCTCTAACTTCCATCATGTTGTTTGATATCGTTAGGCCAAATTCCTATTTCGGTTTAAGGGCGTTCATTTTAATTTTTTGTACAAAACACCAATTTTCGCGTACGGATGAACATTACCACGTACCTGAACGTATGCGTCGTTATTAAAATCAGCTCGTCTAACTAAACTATTGATTTCTTTTTCTCGATCGGGAGCAGATCTCGCTGTCGCTTTTATCATCGTGCTTGTTTGCATGTCAGTCAATTTTTTTATACACCTGAAATTTTTTAGAGGATTTCGTAAGTTTACATACAAATTTCATACACGTGTAAGCTACATTCACCAATCGTTACCTTTGTCCAGCTACAATATTGCAAACTTCTAAAGGAAGATATGTATGCTTATGCTCTTGACCAACTTGAAGACAAGGTAAGTGGGCATACTTTAATTTCATTTTGTATTTGTCTAAAAAGTATTTTGCAACAGTACACTCTACCGTTTGACCATTTTCCAATTGCAATGGAAAACTTTAAAAAAAACAACAAAAAAAACGGTTAAATGTTTTATATTTAAATATTTTCGTCATTATTTGACCACCGATATTTTTCACACATACATACCTTTGCATGTGAGCTGGCCTCCTAGTTACATTACACACTCTGTATTTCCTCCTCATTGTACCGCAATGCGTTATTTCTATTTTAAGTCCTTTTATTTCTTTCGTAAATTTAACTCTTTGCGAATCCGTGAGAGTTTTTCGTTGTTCGTTAATCTCTCGTATATCCAAAACTTCACACATAAAGTCAATCACCGGTTGAGCCTTGTAAAACGCAGTGGCCGAAACTGTAAGTTTTTTAAAATTAAGTCATGCTTAAAATTCAAATAAAAGGAAAAAACTAGTTAAAAAAAAAAAAAATACCATCAATGTTCAACATCATTTTCCACTGCGAGGGCCGTACGCTTTGATGAAAACCAAACCACACTTCTCTTCCACCTCCCAAAGGATGATAATATCCATCGGGACTAGAGAAAAAACTACGACCTACAGGAGTGTATGTCATACTCGGTAAATGACGCATAACAACATCTAAGGCCTGACACAAAAAAAAAAAAAAACAATAAAATGTTTTTTTTAAGATTTAACCCAAGACTTTTGTATACAAAGTAAATTTTTTTTTTTTTTAGTTGTAAAAACTCACCAAAATCGTATCAAAGGGTATTTGCCTCGTACGACCTTCCAGTGCCTCTTCCAGTGCGAATAATGAAACTTGTGCCACCCATTTAATTGTTACCCGAAAAACTCTATCTTTTCCTTCACCCGGAAGTGTTACCTAAAAAGAAAAAAATATACATCATAAGGATGAATGAAATCGACAACAAAACAAAAAATTAACACATGATTACTTACTTCTAATTCGACCCTATCATTTCCAATCGGGAGAGGATCCCTTGTGTATAAATTTTGCCTTCCATCGAAAACCGGTTTTAAAGAACCAAAAATTTTCGAATAAGCATGTACCATGGTTTCAATAATTTCTCTATTTACTTTTCTCGGACATTTATCTGGTTGAATGTTAATGTCGTAATGATGAACGTACCCACGGGGCATTGAGATCTGAAAATGATTTGCGCGAAGTGCTATCGGTCTACCTTCTCTACCTAAACTTGGTCTCCTCGGACAGCAAAACACTGTTTGAGAAAAATTTTTTTTTAATTTTTTATCATTAACTGCATAGTGTTATTTGAAATAAAGTAATAAAAATGCATGCTTAAAAAAAAATATGTTGTCAACTTACTTGGCAATTCTGGAGGAGAAGAGGGGAGCAGTGATCCCCCCGTTGAAGTCATGACCATACCTCCAGGACCACCAACAGCCCCAGGAGGTCCTACTGGTCCAGGACCAGGAGGTCCAGGCGGTGGGGCTAAAAAAAAAAAAAAAAAAAAAAAATAACCAGAGATTTTACTTGCAAAATAAAATATTCATTTATAACTGACAAAGTATAAAACCTCAATGCCAAAAATAATATCGGGTAATATTGTGTAAAAAATAATATGATTTTTATCAAAAGATAAGAGACAGCAGTGTTTACTATAAGATTTTAGTAACAATATTCTCAATTAAATAGACAAAAAAAAAAAAAAAAGAAAAATAATAATTTATAGAATCTTTTGATACATGAAAGATGAATAAAATTATCATCACAAAAACAAAGACACTTTACAAGGGGATGTGAACGAGGTTCGTTACCTCATTTTCGCAAGAATCTAAATGTTATCACTACATAAAAATACAAATTGAAAACGACAAAATGTTAATAATTTTAATTTTCTACACATCTAATAAAATAGCTAATAAATTTTTTTTTTTGGAACACTGGAAGAAATCCGAAATGTGTTTCCAGAAAGTAAAAAAAAAATGTAAAATGAAATTCGATTTTTGCAGGGTCAATGACCCAACTCAAAAATATACATATACTCATCGACAATGATGTTAATGCGAAAACATGGATTCATTTGACAGCAAAATTAGAAAATTAACATTTCAGCAATTTACCCAACATTATCTAAACATTAAGACACTGAAAAAGCAGTCATATTTTTCAACAAACAAAGCAGTTGACCTCGAGAGCAGACGCGTGAAAATAAGACCGAGAGCCAAACGACAATTTCCGCCAAAATAAAAAAAAAAGGGGTAAACGCCATCGACGATAAATTATTTACCTTGTCCTACTGGGTACATTTATTATTAATTAATTTAAAAAACTATATTTAAAAAAAACTAGAAAAGGCACAAAAAACATAAAAGTTTGGGAGAAATACTCCCATCGACATTGAACTAAGCCCACAAATATGGCGACTTCATTATTGTGACGTCGTCCTACAAAAAAAAATGGCGGAATTATATTCACAGGAAATGGACCACCGTATCCGATTTTGATAACCACAAATTCAAAAATTTTTTACTTTGTTCAATTTTTTCAAGCTCTCTCATATCGCAATTATTGTTACTTTTTTTGTGTAGCATTCGAATCAATGAATGAATTTAAAATAATAAATTGAATTATAAATTCAAAGAGGTTTAATTAACTTCAAATCAACTGATAAATTTTTAAAAAAAACTTTTTTTTTTTTGTCGAGGGGGAAGGGGGGGGGAATTTTTTTTAATACTTTATCAAATAATTTATTTTGCCATCAATCGTAAAAAAAAAAAAATATTTTTAAAAATCTCCAAAAAAAAAAAAAAAAATTTAATTTTACGTGTTGAAGCGCATGCTTTGATCGTTGAATTCTCAAAGATATTACAAAAGAAATACAAAATGGCGGCCGTACTGTGATTCAAATATGGCTTTGGTTCGGGATGCAATTTATAAACCGCCATTAAAATTCTATCAGATTGTTAAAAAAGAAATCGATGGTTTCAATTTGAAAATAGTCAAGAGATTATTAATTAAATTTGATCCGTTTAGAAAAGATGTTAAAGAAATCAGGTGAGTAAAGAGAAAAAAAAAAAAAAAAGTCGTATTTACGCATGCTTACCATAATAATTAATTGCTTTTGCCTTGCCGAAATAAATATCATACGATTATAAAATATTGATTTTGAAATCTATTTTTAAAATAACCTCTTGTATGAAAAGCTTAAAGAAATTTTTTTTTATAAATTATTATAATTAGAGGTACGTTTTAGGTTAATGAGTCGCAAGTACTGAATATATTCGTTAATAAAACATTATTTAAGAAAATTTTTCATTATTATTAATACATACATAAGTTTAAAATTAAAAATTATTTATAATTAAATCCCAATATGTATAGCATAGACATTGTATGTAAATATTTTTCTTTTTTTTTTTTTTTTTTTTTTTTTTGTAAAAATTATTAAAATTGTTAAAGCTTACCACTACATTGCCCACAACCGTAAACTTTTCCAAGCATGGAAACATTTTCTCTTAGCATTGGATGTATTTCTGTGCAAGAAGCTGCCATGTCTGGAAATAATAATAAGAAAAAGATTTAATTTAATACCTTTTATTGTTGTAAATTTTTTTTTTTTTTTTTTTTTAGGGATTTTAGTAACTTTATACATAAAAAAGAAGTTCAAGAATCGAATCCAAAATTACAAATTAAAACAGAAATATTAACGGATAGATCGGAGCAAACTATAACATTCGATTTAACAAATGGTCAAACTTTTATTTTCAAATGCGCCAATTTAAAATCGTTGGAAATATTAAGATTGATCAACACTCACATAACTCCATTATCACCCGTGGAAGAACCTGTTGACAGTGGTAGTAGTATTGCGACAAAACAGAATAAAAAAATTAATAAAAAAAAATAATGGCCAAAAAAGAAGGGTATAATCTTAAAGTTATCGATTCATTGTATAGTCAAGTGCCTGCATTTACTGATATTTTCGACGAGGAAACTTGGTATATTTTTGCATTTTGCTTCGTTGTCGGCACAGTAATTGTAGCATTTATCATTTCACGATTTGTAACTATCAAACCAGTCGAATAATGAACAAAAAAAAAAAAAAAAAAAGTTTTTCACTCTTAAATATCGTTAATTAAAAGCTGCACATGAATTAATGTAATAATAATAATAATAATAATAATAATATGCATGTATATATCAATGTATTAAAAAAATATATATGATAAAAATCAGTGATGAAAACAAATTTGTTATAAAAAAATTTTAATTTGTTCATTATTTGTTAATAATATATGTAATAAATTTTTAAATAAAAAAAGTTTTTTCATTTATTACACAATTAATCCACTAAACTTTTTAATAAAGAGGGGATTTAACGCTTGGCGTTAAAAACGGATCATTAATTTTAATTAAAAGAAAATATAACATCAGGCTGCTAATTTTTAAAAAGTAAAATTTGTAAAACTGTTACAAATAAAAATTAAAAACTAATAAAAACTAAATAATTTTATATTATACTCGACTGACTCGAAAAGTAGTAAATTAAAAAAAAAAAGTGGCTTTATGATAAAAATTATGTTGATTAGACGAGAACAACTGATATTTTCAAATTCATTTAATTCGAAAGTAAAAAAAAAAAAAAAAAAAAAAAAAATTGTAGATAAAAAATTGAATATTATAAGAATTAGAAACATTAAAAAATTTTTTAAGTATCTAACTTCCTGTTGGTTTCACTCTTTTTTCAAGATAAGACTCCATATAATGTTTTTTGAAGTATGACTCTAAGTAAAATGAAATAAAATCAAGATTTAGAATTACAAAGGGGGAAAAAAAAGCTTCATGTCTGCTGTATAAATTACATTTTCAATTTTTTACTCGAATCACAATATTTTATGCCTCATTCGAGAGTTAAAACTTTACAACATAATTTTTATAGTAAACTGTTTAGCAACATTAACAAAGAGTGATCATGAATACATAACATAATTATGGAAAAGTTTAAAAAAACATATTAAAAACATAATTTTAAAAACATTGCCAAAAAAAATATGTTTGGATATGATTGAACATAAAACGAGAATGCGCTTTGTGAAGCGAGAATAATAATGGCTAACGCACATTGATTTCGTTTATTACGTGGAAAAACATAAGAAAATCTAAAATATCATTTTATCCCTTATTATTTTTCTTTTAAAAATTCGCAAATTTAAAAAAAGAAATACTAAACAGAAGTTGTTTTATGAAAATAACGAAAAATTTTGTTTCAAGATTGACCATGACCTAGGTGAGGGGGGATGTGTTCGGTTAGTTTCAAGGTCACTCATTGTTATTGCTCACTCAAGACCTGGTAAATCGATGATAACTTTTTCGACAAAAAAAAAAATAATACGTTCAACATTTAAATAATTTAACACGTTTATTTTACTTACCGTATTTTTTTTTTTTTTACTTCGAAAATAAAAAAAAAAATTTTCAACGAATCAACGAGTGTTGGAAAACAAAAAAAAAAAAAAAATCAAGTTTAACATTCGCCGCGACAGGTGATTGCACATATAAACAAAATCAAAACACTACATACTGTCATTATATTTCTAAAAAAACTCATTTTATTTAATTTTTTTAAATAATTATAAATCAAAACGCGATTTTTAATTAAAAAAAATGTTATTTGATTTCAAAATAATTTAAATTAAATAAAAATCAAACGTGAAAAAAAAAAAAACGCTTAGTCTTTGAATTATTTGCCGTACTAAACGCGAACCATCAACCATTTTTGTTTATTAACAACAGCACATATATACATATCTATCAATTTTGCCACCTTACGCGGGGGAAAAAAAAAATGTCGTCGTAATTTTTTAATATCAAATACTTTAATTAAACCTTTAAAAATTATCAAATCATTTCTTTTCATTCGCATTTAAATAAAAATAAAACGTTAACTCGTCCTACGATCGTCCGTAATAAATCATTTTATTCCCACATATACGTAACGTTTTTCTTTTCGTAAGTTGGCACTACCGTAAAAAACTGATTTTATTCCCCGTAACGCGTAACAAAAAAAATTTTAAAATGAGTCACCCCTATAAAACAACCCCAATTCTTTTAAAAATATGACTAACGTTAATTTTTTTCGTTTTTGGGGATTCCAAATAACGAATTCCATTTATTTAAAAAAAAAAAAACCGTTAAAAAACTCTCATCAATTATTATTATTCCATAATTCCATTGAAAAAAAAAAAAAAAATGTCAACATTAAATAACAATATGAAGGATCCAGGGAAAAAAAATCATCATCATTTTAAAAACTTTATTTATTTATAATTTATAACTACAATTTAATAATTTATTTTAAAATATATAGAATTGGAAAACAACAAACAAACTTTTTAATTCCTTTTTAAAAAAAAAAAAAAATTATTTTAATCACAGATTAAAAAATAAGGATTTAAAACAAAACAAATCATTCTTAATTGGAAAAACCGACTAAAAAATTTATTTATTTATTTATCTCTTTGGGAATAGTAGTAGGATTCATACCTTAAATCATACCTTAATTAATCCGATAATTATTTTTATATATATATAATTTAGATGAATCATTTTTTATATCCCAATAGGAAATGTGAAACATTTTCATAGACCACAAATGTAATCATTGTTGAAGGTAAAACCCGAGATAAATTTGGACTTAAGCCCTTATAAAATCCAAATATCCCTTCCAATCTGAAATTAAAAGATTGATTCAAATCACTTTCAATTAAATAAATCAATAAATCAATAATCAATAAATCAATAAATCAATTTTCAATAAATAAATAAAAATTTAAAGAAAAAATCAATCATTGTTTAGAAGGGTTTAAAATAATAATAATAATAATTTTTTTCTTTAAAATTAACAAAAAACCCTTCCATAAATTAAATTTAAATTTAAATTAATTGTAAATGAATCAATCTCATTATTCTAATAATAATAATAATAATAATAATAATAATAATAATAATAATAATAATAATAATAATTTTCCATGAAACAAAAACAAAAAACAAAAACCACACATAAGAACACAAAAAAATTTTTTCTTTTTCTTTTTTTTTTTTTTTTTTTGGATTTAATAATAATAATAATAATAATAATAATAATAATAATAATAATAATGAAAAAAAAAAATGGGCAAATCATAACAAAAGAAAATTCAAATTAAAAAAAATTTTCTTTTTAAAAGAAAATCAAAACAACAACAACAAAAATGAATTTTTCTTACCTCTTGAAACCTTAAACCTTAAAACCTTAAAGTTAAAAATTTTTTTTGTTATTCTTAACACGTGTGGTTTTTCTTTTTTAATGTAAAATGAAAATTTAAAAAACAAATAATAATAATAATAATAATAAATTGTGATCCATACACAAATTTATATATTTTTTTTTTTTTATGAAAACACAAACAAAAAGAAAATTTTCATAAACCGTCATTTGCAAAACATAAAACATAATTAATAAATTATTATTATTTTTATTTTATTGTAAATTTTTTTTTGTTTATATTTTTACAAAAGTTTTTGTTTAAATTAATCGCAAAAAATATTTAGTATTAAATTATTACCAAAAAAAAAACCGTCAAAAATCTTTTTCTTTTAATTAATTAATTAAATATTCCTGCAATTATTAAAAAACCTCCCTTTCTCATTTAAATGTTCCCACAATAACAATCATCTTATAATTTATTTTCAAAAGGATTTTTATTATTAATAAATAAATAAATAAAATTTTGATTTTTCAAGCTATAAATCACAAAGAAAATTTTCTTTTCTCTCTCTCTCTCTCTCTCTTCCTCTCTCTCTCTCTCTCTCTCTTCCTCTCTCTCTCTATCTCTCTTTCTTCCTCTCTCTCTTTCTTTCTCTCTCTTCTCATTTAATTTAATTTTAAAAAATAAATTTTTTTAAACATTTACAACAGCAAAAAAATTTTTTAATTATAACATTTTTTATTTATTTATTTAAAAAAATAATTAACTATTATTATTATTATTTACATAATAAATATTCTTCAACCAGCGAAATAATAATTTCAAAATCGATTTCAAAATACAATTTATTTATTTATTTATTTTTATTTATTTATTTATATTTATTTATTTATAATTATTTATTTAAATAAAATAATTTAATCCGTTTTATTTTCACGACCGTTTGCGTGGGTGTCAAATAACTCTAAAACTTTTTTTTTTTTTTTACATAAGATAAACATTAGTCATCGAATTTACACTAAATTTTCAATTTCTTTCTAACATTTCCAAATTTCCCAATTTTCCAATTTCAATTATTATTATTATTATTATCACAAACCTTGAGCCAGCAAGATTTAAATATAATAAATTTATTTATTTTAATAAAATAAAAAAAATAAAAATAATAATTTTTTTCTGACTAATTTAATTAAATAAATTTATTCTATTTCACATCCACATTTTTTTTCCTTTTCTCTCTTTTACTTAAACGTGAATGTTTCAAACTTTTCCTAACACTTTTCCTTTTTCCTATTTTTTTGTAATTAACGTTTAACAATAATAATAATAATAAATAATTAGTTTAATAATAATAATAATAATAATCATTAATATAATAAATAAATAATTTAATTAAATTTTTAACATTTTCCAAAAGGGCAAAAAGAAAATAAAATATGTACTCTTCATAATAATTTATCATCATCATTATTATTATTATTATTATTATTATTATTATTATTATTATTATTATTATTATTATTGTTGTTATTATTATTATTTATATTATTATTATTATTATCACCATCACGTTTTCCACATTGTCTAATTTTTTGGTTTTTTTTTTTTTTGTACATAATCCGCCATATTTTAAAATTTAAACACACACAAAAATATATTTTATTTATTAAATTTTGTCAAATTCGAAAAAACCAAAAAAAAAATTGTCGCCATTTTAACATTTTTTTACACTTGAAGAATTTGTTTTTTTTTTTTTCTAAAAAATTGTCTTGTTATTATCATCATTATCATCATCATCATCATCATCATCATC